AGGAGCTCCTCCCATTCTAAAACTCATGTTTGTCTAGCGTGAGTTGCCTCACAATGAGTGGCCATTAGCCAGAGATTAAACTGGCTGTTCAACCACAGAGAACTAAGGTCAAAGAACTAAGCTGGCATAACAAAACAAAAAAAAACAACATATAAACGGAGGATTTGCAAAGAATAGAACAATAAGCCCCCTGATGTGTAGACCTAAATGTGTGTAGTTTTATGTTTGAGTTTAACAGAAGAAAAGTAGTGAGTATAATCACAAATTTGGTTTTTAATGGAACATGGGTTAGATGTTCAGGAACAAAAGAGGTTAAGGACTATAGTAGCAACAACAGGGACCCTCATAGTGCCCTACAAAAAAGTACAAGTTGACTAAAATATGTTAAACAAGTTGACTAAAACAGGTTAAACATGTCGGGGTGGACTGGCCAGATGGTCTACCGTGGGAAAAATCCCCCCCCCTCCCCAAGGATCGGTGCTGCACTAGGCCTATTTGTGTTTTGCTTTAAAAAAATAATTTAATGTGTGAATTTCTATTAAGCTGAGGATGATCATCAGGATTTGTTGATGGGGGGGGGGGGGGGGGGGGGGACTTATGACGCAAATGGGGTTAGGGGCCCCTTTTAAAATTCCTAGGACTCTTGGACACAGCCAGTCCACCCCTGACCACAGACACATGAAACTAAGTGATAGCATCATCAACATTACACTAATAGTAAACCATGCAAGATCAGCATCGACATAACACTAATAGTAGCAACATGAACATTACAATAGTGGGTTACCCAACTAATACTAATAGCATCATCAACATTACACTAATGGTAGCAACATGAACATTACAAAAGTGGTTAGCCAACTAATACTAATAGCATCATCAACATTACACTAATGGTAAACCACAGCAAGATCAACATCAACATAACACTAATGGTAGCAACATGAACATTAGTGGGTTACTCAACTAATACTAATAGCATCATCAACATTGCACTAATGATAGCAACATGAATATTACAATAGTGGTTACCCAACTAATACTAATAGCAACATCAACATTACTTTTGAAAAGGAGCTTCCCAGTTATGTAAATTGCCTGGTGTGAAAATCAAAACTACCTCCCCTATTCCAGCATTATGGATGTTAAACATAAACTGTTCCTAGTCCACTTTTAACTTACACCAGAACCCTTGTCAACCAGAATAATGTAAAGGTAAATACATTAAGACTTGATTTACTGTAGTAAATTACTGAATTTACTGAAGTAAATTAAAGCCGCTGCACAAAAACTTCATTTCAAAGCCGAATAGAAGTTCAGCAAGGTTGAATTCAAATTTCCAATTAATTTTTTTTTCATTGACAGGTGCAACCTTCTGGTGAGTTAACCTACTGCACAATTTTAGCTTAAAACATATGGTCAGCTAGCCTATAGAGTAGTTCAAACTTCAAGTAAAAATGCTTTACAAATATTTAAAATGGATGACAAAAAGTCCTAGAGGTAATAAGAAATAATGTATTTCTCATATAGCATTAATTTTAAAAAGTATAAATTATTTTCAAGAGTAAAATGAAAAGCCAATTTTTAATTGTATACATGTATTTAAAAATTTAGCTGTTACAGTTGTGTTTGAAAAAAATAAGGCTGATAAATAGGTACAAACATGATTCATAAAGTGTTTTGATAAAATAGTTAATATATTATGAGTGTGTAAGTAGAACTAGTCTATGTATCTCCCGACAATTTATTTAGATAAAACAACAACAGTTTTAAAAGATCAAGGGAGATTTAAACATAGCTAATTCCTTCCAGAAAACATCTATAAACTTGAATTTTCTTAATCAACTTAATTAATGTGTTAATTAATTGGAAGCGAGAAGAAAAAAAAAAGCGTAACTAGGCGATGTTATCACAGTGAATGAGCATAGCCCAAATGTTGCCTTGGTGATCATGTTTTATTCACAAACAAGTCATACATCTCTCTCAGCTTCCACCCCCCACCCTCTCTCCCACTTTCCCCTCAAGCTATGCAGCAACAAGCCAAGCTAGGACCATTACCTAATCTCAGACTGCCGCTTTTATCTGCTTTTAGAATATTGATTTTTTTTCCCACACAAAAAAGAAACACTTTGACAATGAAGAGGATGGGTCAGTTTATTATTTAATTTATTAAACACAGCATGGTTGGTTGAGAGAGACAAAAAAATATTTTAAAACACTTTTAAGAGCTTTCAGAGCATGTAGAATTAATTATGAATAAGATCAGGCATGATATGTGTCAGCTATTACATTCAAAGAGGGAAGCTTGTCTAATTGGTGAGTGTTACAGAATGAACGGAAGTAATGGAGGAACAACAAGTAGAAAATTGCTAATTTGGGGTAATTAAGCATTACAAAGTGGCAGTATAAAAGATCCTTAAAAGACAATAGAAAAAAAAAACAATTTTTTTACTCGTTTACCTCCTAATATATAAAAGCTCATCTGCACCCTTCTCTCTGTTTGTCAGACTTTGTCTAAGGCTATGAGATCAAATTCTTCAGCATTATGTGTAGACCTTAAAGATATCTACTTCTGTCAAGGAAATTTTACTGAACGTGTTCACTTAATGTTATTTAAACACAGTAATAAAGTAAAAGAATTATTCGTAGTTATCCTTATTTTTCAACATTATGTGAAATAATTGTGTTTAAAGCAAACACAGCGTCCAATCAGACTTGAGCAGACACTACTAGAGTTGTCGATTTCAAATAATTACTGCTTTATAATGCATTTTTATGTTTCAGCTACAGCTTTAGTGATATATTTGTTTTGTCTTATAGGTTCCAACCATACATAAATTTTCAATTATTGAAATAGGGGATGAACAATAGATTATTTTTGTCAGCCAAAAAATAATACAAATAAATAAGTTAAAACCAGATATCAACTGAATTATTTTAAGTCACTGAATAATTTTGGGCATTTGATAAATTGTTTTATTATTTGTTTGTTTATATATTGATATTTGTTCTGAAATTGCAGCAACCCAAAAAGTTACTCAACTAACAGCTACTAGACCAAATTTAAATATCTATTAATAAAAATAATAAACCCTCTCCAGATCCCCTTCCCCACTCATACAATTCTAGTTTTAAACACATTGGAATCTCAACAACCACAATTTTAGCGTGGTTATTTTAAAGGAGCAAAGCTTAATGGACAGACTGCTGGCAAGCTTATTGGCATTTTTTTTTCCAATTAAATTGAGACACATTAGTTATTGCCATTTGAAGGTAGTATTATAATATGTACCAACCCCCCCCCCCCCCCCCCTTGGCAAATTGGCTTTAGATTCAAGATGTAACAGACAAAACCTTTGTTATTAATGCACTTTAGAAAGCCTTTTTTATATTCTTTTGTCATTGTATAAGCCTATTACTCATACTGATGTAGGTATATTTAAACTGTGTCTCATCTTTATTGCTCATGGGAAATTTTCAATTTACAGATACTTTGTCGCTTGACCTAGGCCTACTAACATCCTAATTGTAATTGTTTGTAACTAATGCATTATTTTGTAATACTTGAACTGCTCTCAGATAGCAATGACACATGACATTAAATAACAAATAAGTTGTGAGTTGAGATGTGTGTGGTGCTGCCGAAAATAAACCACCAGAGTTGATAAACTTATCGTCTAAAGAGCTCAATTCCTGTTTTTTTTCTCCTCTAGGTGTGTTATTGTGACGTCAAACGACCTCAGCTGCCAAAAGATCCAAACTCTGGCTTTCCGGGTTAGCAATAATGCCCATTCCCATCTGATTATTAGATTCATATTAAAATCAATAAATGTCTGGTAAATTATTTATTTCTTTTAGTTCTTATTAACACTAAAATTACTCTGTAAAAGAACTCATTTCATGAAGAATTTAAAATGATGTAGTGCAATAGACTAGACTACATCAGACAGCACTTAATAGCTAATTGTTCAAAATTAAGGTAGTGCTTATTTTGTCCAACAATACACAAGGTGCCTATATCCTCCCATATCCTGTTGAGGGACAAATGCTTTAATCAAAGAAAGCAAGATTTTTTAAAAAGGCTTTTTTTTATTTTTAGCCTGTGGGCCTCTCAAACTGTCAAATATATGTTCACGCCTATTATGTAACACACTTGTTTTGAGTTTTGTACCCATAGAATAAGTGACTTCACTAGGTCAGGTGTCAGCTGGTGTGGGTAGATTTTTTATGAACTTTTGATTTGGTGTCTCTTATTTTCAAATTCCATAAATATCTATAGTATAGAGTTTTAGTGTCAGAAATTAAGGTTAGGGCTAAGGCCTGCTTAAGGTAATATTTGGGTTAGAGTTTGGGAGAGGGTTACTGCTAGTGTTAACTTTAGCAAGTTATATTAGTAAATTAGTAAAGTTAGTTCACTACCAATAAATTTACAACCCTCTTTTTAATACAATCCATTACAATTAAAATAAAATAGAAGTATAAGTAATACTAATAGTATTAGACAACCCCCCCCCCCCCCCCCACATAGATTTTCGAACTTTATGCTCTAAAAAAAAAGTTTAAAAGAAAAGTAGCTTTATTACTTTAGGACTAATCTACTAGATTTTTTAGATCTAGATCTAGATTAGATCTGTAATCATCAATGAATGCAATGAATGTGAATGTTGCCAAGCAGTTGAATAAACTGCTGATTTTAGATTCTAGTTCTGGAGTTCTGAATATAATGAATATATTTAATTATAAATTTCTCACTAATCACTTAGATCTAGATTCTATGTCTATTATATACTATATAGATCTATAACTAGACTAAAATATTAACTTTACTTAACTAACTCACTAACTCTGTCACTCATCACTACTCATCAGTCACTCACTGCTAAGTCTGCTAGATTTCTAAGTAAAGTAAGTTCGAATCGATCACTGACACTGGCCCTGGCTGCTAGCTTTATCACAGTTAACAATAAAAGTAATTACTAATTAACACTAGATTTACTTACCACAGAATCGCACAACAGGGAGCTCGAATTTAATCTTGCGTATTTTTACTAGATTCTAGATTAATTAAGATCAGCAACAAATTCTCTATTGAACCAAAATCGGTTCCAGACGAATCCCCCGCAGCAGCCTCTTAAAATTTATTTGGCCAGGTAAAACTGATTAAAAAAATAGCATGCCAGATCAAGAGCTAATCCTTTCAACAGTGAGTTGATAAAGCAAACATCGGTTAGGAACAAACAAAAATTATGTGATTTAAAAATTAAAGAAGTTTCTTTTTCTAGCTAAAATTGTTCACGTAAACAGTATCAAATAATCGAATCGTAATCGTAACACACTGTTATTGTAACATTACAGTGATGACTTAATTATTTGGATATGTTAATATATTATGTATACCTAGTGCCTATAACACGAATTTGAAAATAGTGAGAATAGTCCCAAATAAACATTATTGTTGTGAAAAAAAGATACCGCGAACTAGATCCAATATTAAAATAAGAGTGCAGTTTAAGAGCTTTTTGTTAGGCCTTCTGTTCTTGAATTTTCTTAATCCTCGTCAGAGTATGCCTAGATTTTCTTTTAACAATGTAACATTAACATTTAGACTTAGGACTAACGACAATTACATTTTTAGATACCATTGTCACATTGTTAGTAGTGTTCGCCTTGAATCCAAATAAGTTGAATTGAAATCTAATTTAGAGACGGTCAGTTTATCCAATTGATCTGGATAGGCCAACTAATAAATTTTTTTCTGGCACCATAAAGTCGTATCCTGGCCAAAACTCGAAAAGCGGCACTGACAAATCAAAACAGAACTGATAGTTGCGTTGCTATGGTGATTTCAGAACCATTACCAAGACTAAGCATGTGCCTACAGTACTATTATAGCCTACTCTGATGATCTTTTACAAATTAAAAGTTTATTAAAGTCTATTTTCGCACTGTTTCTGCATTACATTAGAATTAAATTAGTGCTGAAGTAGGCGTGACTAAAAAAATGTGCATTTTCCATTAATTTTAAAATGAGTAACATCATCGATTAATCTCTATTCGCGCTCCAAAGTAAGTAGTAGGTACTAGCTTTTTTTTAATAACTAGTTAATACTAAATATACAGTAATGTTTATTGATCGCTCAACAGCTAAGAGGCTCTGTGGCGCAACGGTAGCGCGTCTGACTCCAGATCAGAAGGTTGCGTGTTCAAATCACGTCAGGGTCATCGACTGTTTTAATCACTCAAATAGGTATTGCTAAAAATCGATAATTTTGTGTTAAGAAGGTACATCCCTATTAATATTTTACTTGATTTTCATTATACCACAATTATTCATCTAAATCTAGTGCCAACCAAGAACTGTAATCAAATCAAGTGCTGACCAATTCTTGAAAAAAGTTAAGTCCCCTTAACTGCGTTTTTTATATGTTTGTCGCTCCGAAATCTCTCTATCAAATGTGCAAAATCTATTCGGTCAAGAATGTTTATTTCGAAATCGCGAGCAAGATGTGCTCGAGTAATAGAAACATAAACTGGATAAACTCTTTTGTAATCTAAATATTATATCGCGCTAACTTTCAAATGGAAGCGTATACGGCAAACATGGATTTGATGTTCGAATTTTAATTAGCGTGAAAACGTAGTAACTATTCCAATCCAAATGCAGGACAACCAGTACAAACTGTAGCAAAATATTTTGGTATCGAAAGGATGTTTTGTTAGATTTTCGGTTGTCTGGGTAAGTTGCCATGGAGAAAATTTCACGGAAACAGCAAATGGCAAAATAAACTATTTTTCATTCAAATTAGTATCTTTCATTCTATGTACCATGAAAACCCATTTGATCGATTTAAAAAGCTTAATCGATTCTATCGATTTACAGACAGACATAGACAATTTTTATAATTAATTACTCGCTTCCTCGAAACTCATCTTGGCTTGATATGTGCTCGATATTTCTTTGGTTGTTCCCCCTTGCGACTTACTGGCGAACTCCTCCAATAATTATATATGCACATATAATATAGGTAGACCCGAATTATATATACATATATATTAAATCTAAATATTTTTGTCGAATGCCAAACGAACTGATGGTTAGTGAGTGGGTTTGAGTTGTTCTGTAGAGCGTCCATAGTTAATATATGGGATATGTTGGTAAATGAAATTAAGGAAAAAAATTTAGGCCTACAGTTATGTGGTGGGAGGGGAATGTATCAGTGTTTGTTTCAGGCGTCACCCCCCCCCCCCCATCCCCAGCACGAAATTTGTAGGGGGAAAAAAGAATAATTTATATAGACATTTTGACAACCAGCCTTCGAAAAAATGCCTGAAAGAAACCCTGTCAAATAATAGGATTTTTTCCTATAGTAGGAATAGGCTTATTTATGTGCAATCCTTAATAACGATAAAGTTATTATTTATAAAAAAAAATAATAAAGCTTAGCCTAACCATAAACATTTTTATTTAACCGTGAACGTAAACTCCTTTTAGAATAAAAATTATAAGGACAGGTCGATTGTAAATCTAAAATAGGGCCTACTTTCAGAGTTTCTTCCAGGCATCTTTTCGGGGGGGGGGGGGGGCGAAGCCCCCCCCCCCCCCCCGAAAAATTTTTACCGCCCCCCCGAACGAAATAACGAAATGAAATTTATATAATTTATATAGAAAATATATACTTTTAACAGTGTCCGCCCCCCCCCCGAAGAAAGTTTACCGCCCCCCCCCCCGAAGATTTCAAGTGCCCCCCCCCCCCCCCCGGAGAAAAAAGTCTGGAAGAAACACTGCCTACTTTAGTACTTTATAAAGGCTTAGGCCTACTTAATAATCTAATTGTATGCCTCATGATTAATATGGCATGGGGTAGGGAAGAGCCTTACTTACATAACTATAATAAATAAGCTTTTTATTAATTGTTAGAAAGAATTTAATATCGTATTAAAGTAGGCACATAGCCTGGCAGTCAAGATTCAGATCTAGTATTCATCTAGTACTAGATCTAGTAGGCCTATTGATCACAAAATGTATGATACAATTATAATAGTATGACTATGCTGATAATTTTAAAAATTATTAACAATCTTTAAAACAGTCATGCTTCGTTACACTGTGCAAAGTAGCTTGCTTCAGCATAGTTGAATACAAATGCATATTTTCGCGAAGCCTAGGCATAGATCTAGTTAAGGCTTGCAATGTGCCGCTTTGTAAGGGTAAAAAATTAAATACGGCACGGAACAGAAAGGAACGTAGCGGTTGAAAATCAATAAAGCGTAGACTCGGCCGAGGGTTCCGTATGCTTCACTAAATAATTAAAAGTTACGCTATGTAACTTATTATAACTGGAAATTAGGTATGGAATAAATAGAATAATATTTATTTAAAAGACAAAAACATTAGTATGCTACAATATATAAATTTAAATATCATCCCGGAAATCAGGTGGCCCTGTGGCGCAACGGTAGCGCGTCTGACTCCAGATCAGAAGGTTGCGTGTTCAAATCACGTCGGGGTCAGCTATAGTTTTGTTTTGACTAGAAACTTTTTTCTCTCTAATTACCACTGCCAGTGTAACTTAAATACCAACAATTTTAAGAATAATAAACATTATTTCTTTTTTTATGAAACTAATTTTAATCTTAGATAGTTAGGCCTACAGGCCTACCTACAAATAGAATTCAGTTATTTCCTATGTAAAAAAAAACGTTTACGACACAAGATCCGTACATCATAGCCTATGGCTCTAAGTTCTTACTGTTGCTAGATCTAGATCTATCTGCATCAAAACTTACATATGTAGCTTTTTTTAGACATGAATGAATGTAGGCTACTCTAATTTTTAACCCGGATCTATTCGGCTAGTGTTGAACCATGTTTAAACTCGAATTACTAATCAGCGAAATGTTGGCCTATTCGAAAATAAAACCTTATTCACACATTATTGATTATTATATTGTTATTTCTTTTTTTTTTCGTCTTTTTATTTCTTACATGAATACATGCATAGCGTTACATAGGGCAGTATAAAAATATGAAAACAGAAAGTACAGTACGTGGGAGTATGCCTATTACGTTGGCCCTAAGTATTAAACTATAAGTAGGCCTACGTATGCCTACATTGATTTTAACCCTTTCTTCTTCTAATAAAATAAAATTTAACTAGGCTACATTTGCAGTTAATTGCTTTTAACTTAGATAGTTAAAGCTGACTTAGTATAGCGTTTATTAAAGCTGCCTAAGTAATTTACAGGCTTTACATAATACAAATATGCGTAACGGTGAAATATTTTCTAACAACATATAAAATAACTCAAGGCTTATCAGTTTAATATACGTGTTTTATTGAATAAAATATAATCTATGAATAATCACAGTTAAAGACTGCTTGTAGTCACCGGTTTCTAAAGTTACCCACGAAATGACACTTCAACACTATTTAAACAAAAGACAAATTTAAGATCCATTGCCTTTAGTTTAGTATAAATCACCTCCTAAGAACCATCAAAATCCTAATTAAAATCAGCTGCTTAAAATAATGCGGCCTCGTATTGTATAATATTTGATGCAAAAAAAAAAAAAAAAAAAAAAAAAACAGGGTCGATCATCTAAACACATAATGATAATAATAATAATCCATTGCTATCAGAATTTAAAAAACAGTCTTTGAAACTAAGTTCATTAACAAATATTACTTTTTTAAAATGCAAAAAATGTGTGTTGTTACACTTTCTGAACCCGCACCCCCATCTCCCCCTCGTCACACAATTCTGAGCCCCCGTCCTGCCTAGGAGCGTGATATCATTCGTGGATGGCCCTAAATTCACATCATGGAAAGGAATAAAACAGAATGCTTTATAAATGTGTTCACAGCATCAAAGACACAACGGCAGAAGAAATTAAACTTCGGTCAATAATAAAACAACAATAAAACAGAATACAAAATGGAATGTGTGAAGAAAATATCAACAGGCTTGGTAATCTCAATAATATACAGCTTTTTTATTTTTTATTTAAAGAATCTTTATTTTTATTGGAGCAGAGGAACCTGTAATGGCAGTAATTATTATGATTTGCTGATATCCCTCTGAAACGCTACCCCCCCCCCCCCCAACATCCTCTGCCCACGTCCAATTTTATTAATTTTTTAACCACAAGAGGTAGGGATAACCAATTTAAACATCGAGGTTATAATGTTGTATGACACTACAGAACTGTGCAGTATATTAAAAAGTAATAATGAATTATTCGTTTTAGAAAACAACCAAATAAAATGCTCACAAGAACATTTTTAATATATTAATTATTTAAAAAAAAACAGTAATGGTCAAGCTCACGAATTATGAATTAAAATAAACAAGGCATGATTTGGTTTTGCCGTTCTCGTAGATGCACTTAAAAAATACCCCTTGTTTGTTAAATATCAGCTAGTTAGGGGGGGGGGGGGTAGGGCTTTAAAGGGGATTTATTAAATTATAATATATTAAAAATAGTAACATTTCCTGCCTGTATCTTTGTATAGGGCTTTCAGCGAAAATGTCGTTTGGTTTTCCACCAACTTACCCTTTATGAAAGCCAACATAACAGTTATCTTTCTACATAGTAACTTCAACAACAGAGTACATAATACTACAGTCGGTGCATAATTTAAAGATTATACGTACTTCCTAATTAATTAAAAAGAAAGTTGTGTGTGAGTTTAAAAAAAACATAGTAATGTGTGAGACGGTTATTTGTTTTTGTGATATGGAGTAAAAAAAATAATTAATTAATCCTGACCAGAATCGAACATGTCATAAAATTTCTCCTCACACTCATTTGTCATGCGTATAAAATAATCCTCGTCTTTGATGCTCTTAAGCAGGTCAGCCTGCACCAGGCAGACGTTCTCGAGCTTAGCTACCAGCTCGTGGTCAAGACTGACCGCCACAGACGGCGCCTCAACGCTGAACATCCTCACGTCGATGATACTGTCCTCCTCGTCTGGCCGGAAGTTGTCATCAAAAAATATATGATGGTGGCGCTGGTCGTTGAGGTCGATCCAAAATGGCTTCCCGGCCTCGTGGTCGTAGTGTTTGTTTTGCCAAAACCGGAAGTCGTCAACGTAACCGGTGATACCCTGAGCGTCACAAAGACTACGGTAGATGTCCTTCTCGTGAACAAGTTTCGTTTGAATTTCCTGACCCCCTCCTGGCTTGTAAGAAACGAGTTCTATGTTATTTTTCCCGCGTTTAACCACCCCTGGTGTTTTATGAACCTGGAGGTTGATTTTCTTTGGCACGGCCGGGTGGTTTCCATGGAGACCGTACTGCAAGCTGGACAACACGTTGGACGCGTCGCGACCAAACGTCCTTATGACGATCGCGAAGTCTCGCTGCCTCTCGTGCAGGCTGGAGATGAGCTTGTAGACGGAAGGGAGGATGTAGTGGTAAGGTTTACCGTCTCTTCCCGACATGGTTAGAACTTTGTGATGGGAGGTCTCGTTCCCGTACGTCCAGCGGAGAAGCTCCAGGTGCTTGTTGAAATGTTCTAGAAACTGCTCCCCTTTTGGTGTGTGCACGAAGTCCCCCGTCTGGTGCTGTAGTTCGGCGCGGTTGGTTGGAATTTTAACCAATTGACGTTCGAGGTACCTGTAGTACGTGCAGAGCCCAGGAGCCGGCGCTCTCAGTGAAGGTTCTTTGGAGAAAAATTTCCATTCCCCGTCCTGCTCTTTGCCCCAAACAACGCCGGTCAGATAACTATTTAGTGCCTGCAAAATAATTTTTTTACAAATAATGTCAGTACACTGTTAACCACTTTAAAAAAAAAAAGTAACGTTAGAAACTGAATTTTAGGTAGTTTTTAATTCTAACTTGATCAACATGCTTATTGTTGACTGAGCCCACAAAGATATTTTAGACAACAAAAATGTTCTCAACAACAATTTTTTTTTTTAATTTGAGGGTAGGGCCTTTTGTGACGATGTGGATTGTGGGATCGTTAAAATCGTCAAAAAAAACGTGCCGTCAATTATATTAGTAAAAGGATAGTGTTGTCAGCACTATGCCTCACCGCCTTTACTTTCCCTAACGTAAGTCAAAAGCAGAGTTTCTTCTAGGTATCTCTTCGATGGAGGGGGGGGGGGGGGGTGGAGCCGAAAATTTCGGGTGCACCCCCCCCCCCCCCCGATGGGTGGACTCGTGGACGTGCTGCGACTTTTGGATGACCTCTAACCCATGTTTAATGAATTATAGATTATGTTTGGCTTAATTCGTAACTTAAAAGGCATAATATGCATTTTCATTTATTTTACAAGTCGACACAGTAAAATCATGGATTACCTCTTCAACGGAGACGTCCGTTACCGAATCAGCCACCAAGATCGTGTTGCGTATATCAAGATGGATGATCAGTTTTCTTCGATACCGACGGTCCCCGTACACAGCCAGTAACATCCTGGATATTCTGGCACCGTTGTATACCGATCTCTCCCCCTTCTCTGGCTTGTCTTCCTTGTTTACCTCGCATCGTTCGTTCAGGGTCGGGTCCTTGGTGTCTTCGGGTTCGGTGGAGGAGATACGCTCTACAGCGCATCCATTCTTCATGCTCGGTAATTTCATTTGTGCCCTGATATGGCTGTTATTTTAGTGAAAAATGTTGGAATCTTTTTTCTTAACTCCAACGCTGTGGAAAAAAAAAATCCAGAACTTATCAGTTTTAACTGACAAAATAAACACATTGTTTAGAATGAACTTTCAAAATGTAGTAGAAAACTATGCACTTTAAAAAATGAAGAAAAGAAAGAAAATTAAGGCATCTACATGCGTGAATATTCTTCTTACACCAGAGGCGTAGCGAGGGGGGGGGGGGCGCCAAAATGGGTTGGAAAGACAAATTGAAAGTTTGAGGGGGGGGGGGGGGGGGGTGCAAATCGAAAGTTGGAGTTGGGGGGATGCAAATCGAAAATTTGAGGAAGTGCAAATCGAAAGTTTGTCCCCGGGCGCTAGGAAGGGTCGCTACGCCTCTGTCTTACACCCGTATTGATTATATAAGTATCAAAGCAATGAAACACTTGGATCTCCCAATGACCTAGTTCTCTAGTTGCTAAAGTTCGATTATTCCTCTAGGGCTCTGGCTTTGGATTTTACTGTGGAATTAGGTTTGGGCATTAAGACAGTGGCGCATCCTAGTAAAGTGGGGAGGGTGGGTACATGACAGCACAGTTTATGTAACACATTTTTAATCTGTTGTATAGATAGGGTGACGTTTTTAGGTATTTAAATACATACATGCATAGATTGTCCTGTATTTAATTATAGTGCGGCAGAATAATGAGTATGTACAACTACTTAAACATGATATGTAAATAAGAGTGATACATTACATGCGTAAAATATGTTATATGTATCATATATAATCTTGAATACAGAAATATTGCCTGTACAACGAAGGACAGTTTATTGATGATGCTACATAAATAGGCCTACTACTGCCAATCAATGTGACCTCTCTAGTGTAACTGGTACTTACGAAACAGCCAACACTCTTACTTCCGGCCCCAAAAAAAACTACAACTATGACGATCGTTCGTCTCTTGATAACACAACAGGCTACTCAACCAACGTACTAAAACAATAACACACACAAAAAATAAAAATAACGGAAGTAGAATAGTTTTCCTACTCCGTTGTTTGTCTCACTAAAAGACCTCCTTAACTGACCTCACTCAACCGGAACCAGATCAATCGATTCCTTTAAACCAGGCCAGTGTGGCACCAAAGATATAGGCTATGTATATTTAACATCTGTGTCACCGTGTTGATTCCTTTGTACGGGGTGTATTGGACCAAGTACTTGTAGCAGGGTAGGGCACGATAAAGAGATTGAACACAGAATTATCGAGAGGGTGCAGTGCATAAAAGCTGTAGTTGGAGTTACATAAGTAGGCCCTATAGGGGTGTGGTGTGGGCTGGTAATATGTATTCAAAAGTAATTTAATAGGGTTAATAAGACATTGAGTACTCCAATCCTATCTTGGGTTTTTCCAGCGTACCCATATAATTATATAGTCTTTATTTACACATACACGTATTATATATATATATATATATATATATATATATATATATATATATATATATATATATATATATATATATATATATATATATATATATATATATATGCAAATATGCTTTTATTTTTTTTAAACTTCGTAAGATTTCACCACGGTGATAACACAAGTCTTTTAGGGTTTTTAATTTAAAAAGAAGATAAACGTTTTAGGCGTCGTCCATAAATGACGTCACACTCGTAGGGGGGAGGGGGGTCCGTAATTTTGTGACGGTGTGTGATAATGGGAGGAGGGGGGGGGGGTTTCAGATGGTGCGACGTCACACTTTTGCATTATAAAAAAGAAATGTTAGAAAACGAATTTTAGACGTTATTTTGCGTTTTAGAAAACTGTTTTAACAAACTGTAATATGAATTGATTAAAATACTCTATTTTGATAGAGTTCAGACACGATTTTGGAAAAATATCGTTGTTTTAAAAAAATTCAACTGCAATTTTGAGGGGGGTTGTGGGCTGAGGTGTGACGTTATTTTAGGGGTAGGGTCTGGCTCTTTATGTGACGATATGTGATGGAGGGGAGGGGGGAGGTAAAAATCGTCCAAAAAAGCGTGACGTCATTTATGGATGACCCCTTTATGGATGATATTTTTTCCACGCATGTCCTTCTTCACATATTTACAACTGTAACTGCAGCAACTGATGAACTGTAAAAACGTTTTCAGCCTTTCGACTTTTAAATACGTCATCAAAGATAAGTGACGCTACAGACATTGTGAATGTCTACCCACAGACAAAAGAAACAAGCTCTCAAATATTGGAATTCCTGCACGTTTGTGCAATTGATTCATTGATCTTGCTGCGTGGGCATGGACCATGCATGTAAGTATAGAACACGAAATCAATTAAGCAGCATAGCATTGAGCCTAGTTGCTAAGGACGCTACATAAGTTCAACGTCTGTAACTTGTAGTTCTTGTGTTTAAGATCGGTAACCTTATACCGAGACAATTGCTGTCTTTTGAAATTAAAAAAAAAAAATTACAATGGGCTGGAATTAATGGGAATCGCAGGACGGCTTTTTTTTTGAATGGTAACTTGAGTCCTTATATAACATATTGCGAAATATTTAGCTGGTATGTTTAGACAAAGTAATTTACTCATCATCATCATCATCTTTCCTTTGTGGCCCCTGGGGAGCAAAGGGCTGCAACCACACATCTCCAGCGGACTCGGTTTTGGGCCGCCCCCTTTATCTGTGCCCATGTGAGCCCAGCTGTTTTCGCCTCTTCTTCAACCGTTCTTCTCCATGTCTTCCTTGGCCGGCCCACCCTCTTTTTTCCCTGGGGATTCCAGTCCAAAGCGTGCTTTGCGATGTTTTCGTAATTTACTAGCATTACAATTTTAAGCCATTAAATGAGTTTACATGGAAAAGTTAGGGATAGAGTTGAATGAGGTGATGATCAGATCTGTAAACTTCCCAATAGTAATACCAAGTCAAAAAAAAAGTACTGCCTAGACTTTGTTCAGCACAGGGGCTATAATTCTTAAGTTCCGGATAGCTTAAAAATAAGGGCCACAACCACCAAGCCCAAACCCTGATTATTTATTTCTGGCCATAAAACTAAACCTGAGACTATATCACAACTAACAACCTAACACACCTATTTTCGGAAGTCCATAGTCAGACGTAGGGATTACCAATATACTCTGTTGATTTCATAATGGGCAGTAGTCGATGTAAGATGCTTCAATGTTAGGTGTTGCCCTCAAATGATCTCACATACCGGGGGTGGGCAGGAGGTGTTAGTGACGATGTGCTCAAGGAGTGTGACGTAATGCATAAATTATAAATATTTATAGTAAAGATGAAGGGAAAACCTGCTATTTTATTAAAATGGTAATTATTTTAGTCGTTTTTTGGAGTTAAAGCTATGTGACTCCATTATTGTCAGGTGTTCTGGCTTTATGTTTCGATATGTAATTCTTTCGGGGAGGGGGGAGGGTTAAATCAGCAAGTATTGCAGGCAGGGGTGGGCTGGCTGTGTCCAGGAGGCCCGGAGAATTTTACCCCCCCCCCCCTCCCCCCCCCCACCTTGATTAAAATTTTCCATGTGCGTTTTCACTCCATCAAAGCATGACATTTTACGCCGTTGTATGAAGGAATGGAAGTTATAAAATGGAGAAATAACAACTTTTTTTTTGAAAATTTCAACACTAATAGGACTATTACAACGCCGTTCCTGGTGTCTCACCGAGATTTTTTTTTACCTGGGGCCCCACCAGGATTTCTACCGGTAGACCAGCGGGACAGTCTACTCCTTAATTATTGTAGGACAGCATTTATAGACTTTTAAACATTAATATCATTCAAAAAATCGTTATTAGACATCATTCTGTTCATTTGTGTGGATAGGTAGGGAAGCTTGTGTGTGTTTGTGTGTGTATGTGTGTGTATGTACACACACAAACACACACACACGCACACACACACACATACATATATATATATATATATATATATATATATATATATATATATATATATATATATATATATATATATATATCATACATTTCTCAGTTTTCTTTGATCAGGTAAAGAAAAAGTAATCAATATTCAGCTATCGGAAATCGAACATCCTTTTAAACATGAACTTGAGTCTCACCTTTACGACTTACGTCATGGCATGCGCACTGCCAGTTTCCAGAAATAAATGTTTTATTTGTCGAATTGATTTTTTTTGTGTCATTTCAGTCCATTTTTCCTATTTCGTCAGTCTAGTCTAATATTGCAAAACTAGATAGCTTTCGGTACTCTTTAACACACTGGTTTTTTGTTAAGGAAGCACACAAGTAGATATGTTGCTTTTTTTTAACAAAAGTAATTATTTTGCAGTAAAACAGAATCAGATCATGTTCGCTAATATAATGCTGTATTAAAAGATTACTCTTAAGACCATAGAGATCCATTGGCTAGATGAAGTAGACCTCGGCATATGAAGGAAAATGTGGTCAGCACTATGCCCAGCCGCCTTTACTTTACCTAATATGAGTTAAGTACCCATCAGAGCTGGGTGGACTCAGGGGCGTTCCTCTGACTTGAATCCGGGTCCGAACTCGAGACTCTACCTCTAGGCCACACCGTCCCATAATGCTGTTTACGATACCGCAGATATTTCAATTTAATTTTATATTTTAGGCCGGACTTTGAGAATAATTTGCGGTGCGTATTTGTTCCAGTTACCTAAACCAAACAACAGTTTTGTATCAAAATAATGTGTTCATTGCCTGGTTCCAGCTCCACCCAAGTATCTAGAGGCTTAAAATCACGGGGTCGCAATCTTCTGACATGGCGTTTTCTTCTTAATATAGTTGATATTTGTATTATATATATATATATATATATATATATATATATATATATATATATATATATATATTGGTTAGTTATATGTATTCCAAAACATTTTACAGATCGTAAACTTAGAAGCTAAGGGTCGGTATAGTCGTGTGGTAGAGCGTATGACTGCTAACCCGAAGGTCTCGAGTTTGGATCCCTGGCTTGAGTCCGGTGGAAGTATCAACCAGGCTCTGAATCAGAGAGCAAGGCAAAGACAGCTGGACATACTTATTGCGGAGGGGTTATAACCCCTCAACACCCCCTGCATACGCCACTAAACCTACTAATTAAATCCGTGTACATTCATCTACACGTGCTCTTGCCAAGGGAACACACTCTTAAAAAACTAGCCACACCATACTCACCAACAATCAACCTTTTACACACATCCCTGATTGCAGTTCCAAAACAGAGTCCACGAATCAACAAACTGCCAGCACTATCGTCCAAGCGTGCACATTTATTTATAAAAATATTTCGGATCGTGATATACCCCGTTAAAACGGCTTCAGGTTGCATAGGGTTAATCCATTCTTAGGTCCGCATTTCGTTGCTGACAAAGCCGTAATGGCCGCTTCAATTCTATGAGCCATAGCAACCATCAATCGATAGTGCTCAAAGCTAAGAGTTTTTTTTTTCCCAACGCAGCTACCGATGATTAAGCTACTTTAATTATACTTTACAGTAAAGAAGGGAGGAAGTTTTTGTTCAAAAATGTTTTCTTTTTGGGCCGTTAGTATCAGTGGTAGTTTGAGTTAAAAGTATTACACGAGAAATAGAACTGGGAATCTTTAACCTTAGCTTAAAAGCCTCTCTGCTGTTTAAATTAGTTGAAGTTTCTACAATTTACAAAAAAAAGTCTCTTTTCGTAAATATACACAGAGTTAATTAAAAAAAAACACAATCATCAAATCACTGCCCGTCACCCCTGTATGTGGTACGGGCCTAGAGCGATCGGGGAGGCAGGGGGAATATATGTCCCCGGGCGCCGACCTTAGGGGCGCCAAAATGGGTTGTAAAAACAAATTAAAGTGTCCTTTTAGCTGCATTTTTGCAGTTTGAGAGTAGGGGGGTGCAAATCGAACGTTTGAGGGAGGGGTGCAAAATTGAAAATTTGCTCCCGAGGGGGGCGCCAAATTGAAAGTTTGTCCCCGGGCGCCAGGAAGGGTCGCTACGCCTCTGTATGGGCCGCCAACCATAGATTCAAAATCACAAATCACCAGATAAAAAAAAGAAAGAAAGAAAAAACTACATATATTAAGCCCACTATTCTTATACATCTATACTTCAGCTAATCTAGGCTACTCGAATCAAACGTAGACGAGTTGCGTTTTATTCCACAGTGAACTAACAGTTTTCGCCCCTTACCCTTTCTCTCCCCCTCCCCAATCCACATACAGACTACACTATATTGTGCTTTTTTTGGTCACGTGTGACTGATTACATAAACACCGAAGACAAGAGTTCAGTCAGCGTGTAAGGCTTTACAAAAGTCTGTTTGCTCGACTATATATTATTCAGCAGTAGCGTAGCGAGGGGGGGGGCGGGGGGGGACATATGTCCCCGGGCGCCGACCTTAGGGGGGGCGCCAAATTGAAAGTTTGAGGGGGGGGGGGTGCAAATGAAAAGTTCGAGGGGGGGTGCAAATCGAAAGTTTGAGGGGGGCGGTGCAAATGAAAAGTTCGAGGGGGGGGGTGCAAATCGAAAGTTTGAGGGGGGGGGGGTGCAAATGAAAAGTTCGAGGGGGGGTGCAAATCGAAAATTTGCTCCCAAGGGGGCGCCAAATTGAAAGTATGTCCCCGGGCGCCGGGAAGGGTCGCTACGCCTCTGAAAAGGTACCAAAGCCAGTAAAACATCCACAAAGACTTTGATTTGACTTTGCTTTAAAGGTTGTGGTTGCGGTGAGGGTTGGTTGATGTTTGTGTTTGTTCATGTTTGTGTTGTGGTGAGGGTTACGGTTTACGTTTAATATTAGACCACATTACATTACAGCTCCATTAAATTTAGATTCTGTTTCTCTTGCACTAGATAAATGTGGAGTTTTTTAAAAAAAAAAAATATTTTAACTCATGTTAAACACATATATTTTAACACATTATTCCTGTTAATGTTATCGGCACAATAGTTTTAGAGTTATTCTATGTCCAAAGAACAAAAAATAATTAATTTTGATTTTTTTAATTAAAATAAAAATGACCATAAACGCATGCTTGTCATTTTCAATTATTTTTCTACCTTAGAAAGACTCATTTTAGATGACTGAAAAAAATGGGCATATATATTACAAACTTTGCAGCAGTTTTACCACTTTTGTTATTTAGTTTACAAAATATGGGTTCTAAAAAATTACACTTTTTGAAAACCAGTTGTTTTTTTTTTACCAAATTTGGCTTTTTAAAAAATCGCATAACTTTTTTATTTATTGAGATATTTTTATTAAAATGTGTGTCATGGCTTACAATTAAAAGTTCTTTCATGACATACTCAATACAGAAGTCTGCAATCAATAGTTAATTTCAGTTTGGACTATCTAGTAACACCAGATGAAAACATGGGTGCTACCTTGCGGTTATTCCGCGAGAGTGTTCTGCCTTGCAGCCCCTAGGCTCATCCGGTGGGTGGATGTTGCGCTCAGTCGAAGAAGCTGCTCGATTGACCTCGGTAGGAGTGAACCAACTACAGAAGTCAAAAGAGCTGCGACTTCCGTGCGCCTCACCACCCACTGTTGCGCCTATGAGCCGCAAGTCACTTGGCCATCAGAATGAACACAACGCTATTGTTGACAACCACAATGTTGCACCCTTTGGACTTTGGAATAAAGGCGCATCGTGAATTTAACAATACAACTTCCGTGGTTAGTGCGAACCTACTAGGTAACATTGATAGCTTATACCCGTACCTCGCTACGATTATTACCTCAGAGTTTACAGCGCTGCGCGGATGAGGGTACCCGCATTGAGGCGGATATTCCTTCAGCCCACCGCGCTGCGCTTGTGTCGTTTCAGTGTCGGTATACTTAGAGTTTACCGCGCTGCGCTCTTCGCTACGGTGGGGATATGGATATTAGATCTAGATTATTTAAATCTATATATCAAGATGTACGCAAAGAAATATATATAAGCTAATACAAATTAATTTAAAAAACAACATAATGACCATTGAAAAGCCGTGTTTTTAACAGTCCTTTAAGTCTCTTAATCAGTGTGGAATTGATATGATGTTCTTATAATAGGTATAGGGCTGGTAAATAGGTGACCAAACAGTTCTACGGCTCAATAAAACCTGCATGAGCCATTATTCATTTGCATAACGTAAACAAAATATTAAATAAACACAAATTTCTAAAAGATAATAAACGGATCAATGTCAAATAATACTTTCGCTAATCGTTTAGATAACTGGAAAAAATGGATACATTTTAATAGCAGTAGGGTAAAGAAACTAATTAATTAAAATCTTGTATAATTTAATCAGGGGAGGTAATGTTAAAAGAATTTCAACTCACGCTGACAAAATAATGTTAATGCAAATTCTGCGGGCGTGCAAGAGGACATTATTGTTAGAATATTATAATTAGCATGGATTGAGCCACCTAATACAAAGGCTAAAGCGTATAAATTCTTTTGCAAATTCCCCATCGTTTGACTTTTTTTGTCCTATCTTGGAATACTAGTGTATTTTCATTAGCATGTGTTTACTTATTGTTTTTCGTTTCAATTCACACACACACACACACACACATATATATATATATATATATATATATATATATATATATATATATATATATATATATATATATATATATATATATATATATATATATATGGGGCCCCAAAAAAATATCAGCCGGGGGCCCCGCTCAGACCTAATCCGCCCCTGCGTTTATGTGTTTTTTTTTATACGCGGAAATGCAAGCAGGGGGTATAAGATGCTTAATAAATACATACGTTTTTTTTTTTTTACATCGTCTTGAATTTTTTTTTCCAGCGATGTATGAACATATAAATTTAAAAGTGAGATTTATACCATAATTTGGTTTTTTTTTTAAGATTTTTTTTTTGCTGTTTTAATTAATATAGGCTACTATAACGTACACATGTTAAAGAACGTCAGGCAATTTTGCCCATTATTTTACCCCACCTCCAACGACGCAATTTTGAAGCTAGACCAAACGTCATTATAGAGCGTCGCTAAGTTTTTTCCATAATAATTTACAGCAGATCTAGATCTACAACTAATAAAATAACGTTTTATTTGAGCAAGATGTGTGGAATATATAGTCCCCCCAGTTACCGTTAAATGTCATGTTTGCAAAATATATAATAGACTATTAAGATGTCATTGATTCATTACATGCAATTTTAATGAGACCTGATGTTTTTTGAACATGATTTTTTTTTCTTCAAAAATATATATTATTTTAAATAATATTTATTTTAAACTACAGTTGTGTAACATCTGGCAAGTTGCAGCACCTAGATTAGCAGACGATGTGCAAAATATACTCATTATACTGTTGACATACATGCCATTTTTATTTAAAGAGAATTTAAAGAGAGTTTAAACAGTTAGGGTAGGCCTATAATAAATTTCATCACTATGCAATTTGTTTTTGTTTAGGTTTTTAAAATGCTTTGCTTGATGTGAACCTTTTAAACTTGACAAACAATAAAACTATTAAAAGGATCAGTCTACAGTCTTTACTCTTTGATCTTGGTATCTTGGCATCATGAAGCCTGGCATATCCGGTTGGTGGGACTGACTTGTTTTTATTATGTCGTAGCTAGACTCGAAATGTAGATCTAGATCTAGATTACTAGATCTAAGTCCAAAGTATAGATCTAGATCTATCTAGTATCTACCTAGATATCTACTAGTTTAAAGCAGTAGGTTAATATTTATTTACTAAACCCTATTCATATTTACGATAATTACTTATACCAGTGTCTGACAATATGTTCTTCCGGCCAATGATCTGCGTTGTACCGTGAAGTCTAAAAATAAAACGTCAACATAAACAAACTCACTTTGGCCTAAATAGGTCGCGCTAGGCACCGAGAGAACAGAGATGTGTAGTTTTTGTAACATAAATACTTTTTGCATAGTGATTATGAAAATAATAGGATTTGGAGAGGTGCCATAACAAAAAAAAACTATCTCCCTTCATTATCATTAGTGCTAATTAATTAATTAGCTTAATTACAATATGTTAATTATGCTAATTACTTCGTTAATGCACTTGTGGGTTCGTTTATAAGGTGTGTTTTTTTTAAAGTTTTTTTTGTCTTGAAAAGACTTCTTGAACTTAAATATTATCATGACCAGATTAATTAATTATGTTAATCCAGTGATTAACATAATTAATTTGATTGTTTTATTCAGATGTCTATTTTATAGTTGAATAGTTTGATTAATTTTTAAATTAATTATACAAGTACCCCAAATTATAATTATAAACATTCCTTAAAATACCCAATTGTGTTGTGGCTGGGGTAAGTTACCGTAAGAGGAGTGGATATGTGTATTCTGGCAAACATGCATATCTGAATTAGGATTTATTTCAGACAATTTTTTTTATGGAAGATAAAGAATGCTTAAAATAGATTATTTACAATGGTCAACATTTAATTTTTATTCTGTACTTTGTGGGGGGGGGGGGGGGTTTGGATACACCCCCTTCCCCCCCCCCCCCCCCCACCAAGCGTGGCCAGGTCTGAGATATTTGTAAACAGTATTATTTTTTAAACAGCCTACCACCCCTCCCCGACCCGAACATAATAGACAACGATCTATAATACTTTATAGAACATACATATATTTTACTAATTCCCCCCCCCCCTTCTACGTGGGACATAGGAATCGTCCATAAACATCGTCACATTTCAGAGACGGGGGGTGGGGGGTCGCAATTTTTATTGTAAACTGTGGGGAGGAGGAGGTAAACTTCGTCAAAAAAGTGACATCTTTTAAACTTTCCATGACCACTGCGTGTATATTGATTATTAAATTCCAATCCCAATAAAATGTAACAAAAATCGTTTGACCGCGTAGATAATCGTGGTTATAAATATGTCCATGTATTTTCGTTTTTCGTATTAATAACATAAATCAGGCCTTTTTTGGTGCTTGAGAATCTTTACAAAGCAGTACAAGGTCAAGGCCATATGCAAATTTGCTTACGTCACTTTAAGTAGGTGAGAATAAAAAACACACAGCACTCGTCAAATTTTAAAAATAAATGCCCTCCTTTTCAAACATGTTTCTTGTTAAACGTATAGCCATACATAAAACAAAATGTGTTCACATTTTCTTAACCCTTACCCACTTTCATTTACAAATAATATTTTAAAAAGATTATCCTTATGTCAGGGCCAACTAATTAGGCATAGGCCCCAAACCAATAAAATATATTATTACTATTAACATCCCGGGCCGAATGTGTGTTACACCTAGAGCCCTAGACCTACACGTCTGAGCCTTCGAGGGTCATGTGGTGATCTAATTAATATTCATAAATGGCGTTGGAATAATTTTTTCTGCATGGATATGATGTCGTATTTTGTAAGTAGGATAATTTTTTTTCCTTTTTATTAATTATCTATATCTCCATCAAAGCGTTTAATCAATAAATTCAGCCGCTAAGCCGCTTTTCATCGAAATACTAGATTTAGATGTCGGGTGTCCATCTAAACTTTTGAGACATCACGTGACCTCATTTTCCCGCCTTGACCACTTTGCCATCGATCGGTTACAGTTTAAAATTAATTACATACCAATATCCCCACGTTCTAGATAATGCAAATTTAAAACAATGCAGCATTTAACACCCTTGTCTATAAAGTTAACGTTGCTTTGTGGCTTTACGCTAAGAAATTATATTTTGGCATTTAGCTGCGCGGGCTAGCCTAGATCCGTGCTTTGACCTAATTTGGAACACGTGCCGCGCAACCCTCCGCGGTGTGCTGTTGACAACTTTGTTTGCATGCTTTACTTCAATACGCAATAAAATATGATCAAAATAAATTTATTGTCTGTTTTCTTTGTATTATTTACATACTTTCGGCATCGGCCGATGAAACACGCACTTTATAAGCGTTTTGGTAGACTTGACAAAATATTAGTGCACGAAAAGGCAAATATTTAACAATGATTGCTTTTTCGGACGTCAATATTTTGAGATTTTGTGGCGTCATCATTGAAAAAAACGACTATCTCCATTTTTTAAAAGGGTCATTTTTCCCTCATTTTGAAAAAACGCGTTGCGATTTGAACTATAAATTAAATTTAGGCTTCAAAACCGCTGTTTTGACACACCGCGCTGATGACGTCACGCCTTACCAAAACACTTAGAAAGCGCGTATTTCATTGGCCGATGCCGGATGTAGTCAAATCCCGGAGACTGGTATAAGCAATTAACCCATATTTAATATATATTTAGATCTATAATTCTCTTCTTGGAGACGTTAGAAAACAAGCTGTAAGCGGCCAAGCGCCCCTCGCAGTCCCCTCTCTCTCTCCCTCTCTAGGAAGTCAGGTGAGCTGTGGTTCACGCAAAATGTTTACATTCGTAGAGCCGGGTTTAGTGCTGGCTATTAGGGGCAGATAATTTAGTTTGAAACGATTTTAAACTTATGGGAGGTAGCTAAGAGGAGGCTGCTTTCACGGGGGGGGGGGGGGGTGGGGGTTATCATCCTTAACGACTTACTGATAGTGTTTTAAAGCAAATATTTTCAGTGACAGCAGTGGTACTGTTGAATTCACAAATTATGAATTATTAATAAGTAGAAAATAAAACAACTAAATATAGCGGCGTATGATACGCCGCGGGTCTGCTCGTTGTATAGAATCTAGTTCTACAGGCCTTAGCCGCCTTAGTCTAGATCTAGTAGGCCACTAGTTACTCTAGTAGTAGCAGTACTCTAGCAAGATTCTAGAATCTAGATCTAGGAATCTAGATCTAGAAATCTAGCTAGATTAGGTCACTTTGTCACTAGCACTAGATTTCTAGTCACTAGACTAAAGCCTTGATTGATTTTGATACTTTTACATAAATCTAAATAAACCGGAAGTGATCTCTCCTAAACTTTCTCGAATATTCTTATATAACTTGGAATATAGACATGATTTTTAATTACTTAAACTTTTAAAAATAGAATAGAATCTCATAGAAAAAAGAATTGCGCACCAAGCGTACGCCAAAACAAAATGTGCATAATAGTGCGCAATATTATTAGTACTTTATAAATTTACATGCATTTTTTGTACTTCCGGTCAACGGAAATTACTCAAAATTTGACAGAAGGTAGAGAATTAGATCTTTTACTTACATGTGAAATTTCATTTATCTGAAATAGTACTCAAGTTATAGGCTTTTGAAAAATTCAAAGTAGAAAAAGTATCACTTCCGGTTATCGGAAATCGCTCAAAAGTTGATCAGGATCTACGATTTTCATAAAATACTTGTATATGAAATTTCATCAACCTAGCTGTAACGGTACTCAAGTTATCGTGTTTACACACAGACAGACACACAGACATACGGACAAGATTGCAAAATTATGTTTTTCCGTATCAGTGATTTTTTTTTTGCACGATTACAAGACTTTCTCTATACTTCGTATATATGAGAAAGTAAAAAGGCTAAGCCCTAATCTGCCTAAGCAGCAAGCTAAAATCCAAAAGTAAACTTATTAGGCCTATTATTCCTATTAATAATAGCTTTTGTCGTAATTGACAATGACAGTAGTGTCAGTAGGCTAAATTTTAAAAAAAATGATTTGTGAGTATGATGATTCATTGCATTATTAAATCATTAATCATAAGGGCCTAAATAAAATTAATGACCTAATCAGTCCTAATCTAAAGACTAAAGTAAAATTTTTAAAAAGCAAAATAAAACTCTGAGCCAAAAGGAATGGAACTCACACCACAAAAACAAACCAGCCAACGCATAACCACTTTGACCACCCAACAGTTCCAATTATGTTCAAAAGTCAAGTGTCATAAGCAAGATAATAAAAAAAGTAATTAAGTATGGACGCACAGGACATTAAATTTAAAAATAAATTTGATTGGTCGGCAATAAAAACGCGAACTACAAATAGCTTTCTGAGGGCTATTTGTAGTTAACTACCAACCAATAGACACTCCCTAATTAAATGCTTGTCTAAAAAACAACTCTTTATCCGCCTCTAGGGTTGGGAGGTACTGAAATACAGACCTTTTCAATCATGCAAATTATTAATTACATTATATTTTTATAACCTTTTTGGGTTAGTGGGAGGGGGCGTTAATTTTTTGGAGAGGTGCTGGAAGACACCCTGGTTTAATCATCGATTTCAGTAGCCCACCAGAGCCATATGCATGATGCTCTTTAAAACAAATGTAGGCAGCACAGTACTCATGAAAGAGCTTGGGGTGCACCAAGTCACATGAGTCCAAACCCCACTTACGTAAATTTTAAGCCAAGTCTAAAACTCAGACATAATAATTCTTATACTTTTTATAGATTTAAACTTGATGATTTTATTATTTTATTCTTACAGTGCCTAGAAATGTATGCTGTTATGAGAAATAACCAAACTATTTTCACCATCATGTATGATCATGCTTTGTAAAGATACTTTTTTTCTACTTACTAATATAACTTTTTTAAAAAATCAAGTTTTCTCAGAGACATCTCTTTATATCAATTGAATCAAAAGTTTTTTTATGTGTAATTCTTAGAAAATTTTAAAAACAATGAAAATTTAATTTTTACTGATTAAACGAACAAGTGTGGCTTTGAGGATATCAGTAGATGAAAATGATAAGGACTATTCATCCTGTCGCACACAAAGATGATCCAAGGAAGGATGACATTGACTACGGTGAGCTTTCATGGTTTTATAAGACCTAAATATAAATATTAATTAATGTGTTTTTTTGTCCTAAATAGTAATGTGAAGTACTAAGTCTAAAGCTACAGTCTTAAGTTTTGAGAGACAAAAAACTTCAATGAAAATGTATACATTAATAATACGATTTAAATTAATAACATAAAATTTTTTAAAAATATTTAAGAACCCAAATGCACATGTTGTCCAACCGGGAGAAGTGGTCACAGAATTATTTTAACTGAAGACAGTCTGTATGCCCTTGGTGGATTTAATCCAGTATTAGGCGGATATTCAGCACCAGTCAATTCAAGGGGTCATCCTTTATTTAAAGAGGTATTTACAATGCTTTTTAAGTTAAATAATTTTCTATGCTTATAGTAATGTCTTAAAATTATAAGCCTTTTTAGCTTTTCTTTTTGGACTGGATGGTCTACAGGTTAGTTGTAGACCGAATAATTTATATAATTTTATAATTGTTTATGTCTGTGTTTAGTTTTTGTATTTATTAAAAGAAGTGAACTGGTTTGATTTTCTTACTAATACATGTCATTCAATCTTTGTTTACCTTAGCTGTGGAGATTTAATCTGAGTACCAAAAAATGGCATCTTTTAGATGACTTTTACAGTGTTCCTCCTACCATTGCATCTCATACAAGTAAGCTAAACCTCTTAATGTGTTGTCTGTAATATTTACTTACATTTGTTTTAACTGTGTAAGCTGCTTATCTGTTAAATTAATACCTAGCTGGTTTCAGTGTTGTTCAGTATAATCATAAAAATTTAAAATTATGTTTGAAATATGTTTAGTTATTATACTGCCAGCATCTGTTTAATATCACAACATTGAGTTTGTTTTACACAATCTAAAAACAAATTTACCTATACATTTTTTAGTAGCAAAAGTTGGCCGGTGGTTGTTTTTATTCGGTGGTACATCTATCCCATTTGGAGAGACACCAACCAGCGCCTTGTATAGATATGACCTTTTAGCACCAACACATATTGAACACAATCAGAATTGTGACTGTGATGCTCATGCTGTCCGTGGAAATGAAGTTGCGACAGTCAATACATGTAACCGCTGGCATTTGATACCAGTTGTAGGGGACATGCCAGAAGAACGATATGGTCATGTAAGTGTTACTTTGCACTCTAGTACTTTGTTTGCGACCACACAACCATTATATGTATATTTTAACCTTACTGCCCATTTATTATATGGAACAGTGTGAGTTTGTGTATGGTGAGTCTTTTGAATCCAATTCCTTATCTTTCGATACCATGAATTCTGAAAATAAAGTTGCTTACTGTTGCATAATGTTATGTGTTTTCAGACAATGACAATGAGTTTCCCAGATGTGTATATAGTAGGTGGAACATCAGGGTATATCTACAACTCTGAAATATACCACCTTGATTTGAGGAATTCTGTGGGGAAATGGACAAAATTAAGCTCAGATGCAGATCCTAGGCAGCCTGTAGGGAGGTAACTCTTAACTAGAAATATTTTTAAATTGTTGAGTCCAGCAGTTTCATTGGCAGTAATAATAATCTTGAATAAACTCTTCTTTTTACTTTAGTCTAACATAATTTTGGTCAAATTCTTGGGTTCTACTCTATTTGAGTACCATATGACCAGATAAATGTAAAACCTTAAGATGGGTTTAAATTATATTGGTTGGAAAGTCTGGTTAGATTGAGGTTAACTTAACATGGAATCTCTAACTTAAAAACTTTACTTTCATCTGTTTGTCAGATATCGACATGAAACTGCCTTTGATGGTGAAAACCTGTATATATTTGGAGGCGGGACGGACCGTGATGCATTTTCTCTAGTCAATGTAAGCTTACACTGTTAGATCTGTTCTTTTACCTTTAAGGCTCTGCTTTAGTTTTGTTATTACCTTTGGTTGAGAGATATTGTTACTGCTAGCAAGTGTGATAGACAAGATATGTATATTTTCAGATCATCTCTTGAATAGACTGTTCACTGTTTCCACAGATTCATACTTTCAATATAAAATCATGTGAGTGGGGCACACTCAAGTCTACTCCAGATCCACAGCATGGTAAGATGTTTACTACTGGCGTTATAGTTTTTTTTTCACTCAGTTTCCAATTAGAAAAATATGTGAATTCTTTGTTCTAGAAATGACTTGTTTAAAAATGTAACATTAGTTCCCATTGTTTAATAATATTTTCTCTAAAGCTGTGTTCCTTTTATGAATGAAAGTTTGTAATCTTGTATTTTAGGTATCGCTAGTTTTGTTTGCTTCAACCTTCAGGATTTACGAAAATTTATATTCTATTTTCATGATTACAAGTCATATTTTGACTTAGTGTTTGTTGAAAAAGCACACTTTTCAATATTACTCTAATATCTTATATCACAGTAACTGTTGTTGTGGAAAGTAACGCTTAGCCACACTATATTCTTATGTCCTCAGGCATAAATCTCTAATCTAGCTGTCATATTTAAGGTCTGTCGTAACTCTCTAGTTAACAATTTTGTGATGTACGTAATTCTGTAATTTCAGAATGTTGATTTTATTACAGGCCATCCAAAGCCACGGAAATGCCACAGCTGCTGCCAGTACAAAAATGGTATGTTTTTATTTATTTATTTATTTAGTTAAGTTTTGGTTTTTCAAACTCTTTATAAAAACTGCGCACAAGAAGGTGTGCAAGAATATTTCTGTTTTCTTAAATTGAGTATTTATAGACATTAACAAAAAATGACCACATGTACATTGTAGAATAATAAAACACTTTCCAGAAAACATGACAAAATTAAAGTGTATTTACATAATTAGTTTTATTTGTGCAGTTATCTGTTTGCACATTTTTCTGGGAATTTAGTAACTGAAACAATTTAATCTTCTTTTTATTTACATTTTTCTCAAAAAACTACAATGTACTTGAAGTATGAATTGAATATTATAAACTAAAATTTATTATGAAGTTTTTCATAATTAAAAACTTTAATATCTCTCAAAACAAAAAAATTCACAAGCTTTCAAAAATGATTTCAATTACAGAAGTCTATCGTAGTTTTTCAGCTGTGTATCTATGTTATAAAATATTGAATCATGCCAACAGATTATATTCAATTATGATTCCCTTTACTCACTGGTTTTCAATGGAAACAAAATGTTTTATTATTTTCACAGACGTTTATATGATTGGTGGAGTGAGTGGTATATCTAACAACAATGAAACTACGTTGTTCAATGAGATTTGGAAGTTTTCCTTGATTGATGCCACTTGGACTAAATACTCATCTACATTGGCTGTGCCCTTATACTTCCATTCTGCAGACTTTGCTGTGGTAAGTCAGTACTTGATGCTATCTTTGCTGTTTGTGTGATGTAGGAAAGCAATTAGCTTGAAGCAAGTACTTAAAATAAAATTTAAAAAAAAAGAATAACTTAACTAAGTAAAAAGTCTGTCGAGAAATTTCTTTTTAATTTAAAAGAAGAGAAACAAATCAAATTATATGTTAAGTTTATTTCATTTGCTCACAGCCATTTCAAATAAAATGTATGATATTGCTAGTTTTATTTTTCGTAAGCTTTTTTAAACATAGTTTTAATGTTTTGTCTTGAATTTCAGCAAAAAGGCTGCATATACGTATTTGGTGGTGTAACAAACTACAGAGATGAGTGGGTTCGTACCAAAAGAATTCTGGCCATACGTGTTGCTGTTGGCGACCTCTTGGAGCTAGCATGGGAAGTAGTCTGTGAGCAGATAGGTGACAGATGGAATGAGGTTGATTTGAATGATTTAGGTGTGCCCATTTCTATGCAGCTAAGGATATTTTAATTAAAAAAAAACTTTTTAAAGTAAATGGTATCTTGTTTCTTATTTGTGAATTGTTGAATGTTAAAATTATTTTCTAATAGGCGCCTACAATTTTATTTTTTTTAAAACTTAATTATTTAAATTAATTTAGCTTATTAAAAGAAAGTTAATTTAAATAATTATGAACTACTTTTACAAGCTGCATACCCTTCCATTGCCTCAGGGTTGAATCCCTGGTTTGAGTCAATAGAGCTTCAAGTAGTTCAACTAGCTCTGATGGGTCCCTGACTAATGTTAGGGGAAGTTAAGATATGGGGGCACAGAACTTACCACACGCCTGTTCATATGCCGAGGTCATAAAACCAGGATTAACAAAATGAATATGTCATGATATCCACCACCTCTGGACATGTGGAATTGGAGATGGCGGCTCCGCATCAGAAAAAAGAGTTATGCCTTTTTAAGTTTCGACAAAGAGACAGTAGCATCTGTATATGTGTCAATTAGCACCTCATCAAAGAAATCCTCCTTAAATACAACCTGCACAGCAGTAGTTTGCACCCCTCCCCTCATTGCCCATTGCGTGGTGTTTGTGGTGATGATTCAGAGACTTACTAAGCCCACCCTACTGATCCACCGACAAAAACTATCATTTCTGCATTTTTGAGCATGGGAATTAGCTCTCTAGTCCTTTAAATTAAATTGTCCCCATTGCTGTCACACATATTTCACTGGACTCCCAAATCTCCAAAAAACAGGAGGAGGTGGCGAGTCAGAAAGTTCGACAACAAACCTTTCCCATTTTCTATACAAGTTGTAGCTTTTGTTTTGAGATTTTATGGAAAATTGTAATAAAAACTAATCCAATTGGATCTAGTGTTGCTAATATTTTTAAAGAAATCACTGTTTAATTATTGTCTTAAAAATTGCGATTATTGAAAGGAGGCATAGTAAACTGTGATTTCATTTTTGGTGAGGGGAGGGTTCTTTATTTTGTGACGATGAAATTTTCTATGGTCGTTTATTGAAGACTTCTTACTAATCTGCCAGATCTCCCATTAAAAAAAAAAATTGGTGAGTTGCTTCTATGAGCGTCCAGCATAGATTTTTTTCCAAGGTTTAATCAGGAAACGCCAAACTTGTTTCCCAGAGCATCCCTCACTGAATTTCTGCACAAGTTGTCCCGCTACCAGTGTTTCTTCCAGATTTTTTTTCTCCCGGGGGGGGGGGGGGGGGGGGGCGGTCAACATTTTTCGGGGGGGGGGGGGAGGGATGTTTACTATATAAAATCCATCTCGTTCGGGGGGGGGGGGGGGGGACGGTAGAGATGCCTGGAAGAAACTCTGCCCGCTACCCCGGTGTAATATGACCCACCGACCAACATGTTTTCTCGGGCGTCCGGGACGAGAGAGCCCTCCCCGTGTAATGTACGTCTCACATCTCTCCGACGAAGACCAAATGTCTATACCTACTGATAATGTGTGTGTGCATGTGTATGCTAGATAAGTGGGTAAATGGGCTAAGATATTCTGCTAAAAATAGGTCCATATTACCTGAAGTTCAACCACCACCAATTTTTTTTTCTAACCTCCCTGCTCCAAGTTTAGACAACATGTTTTAATCTGTAAGAAAATGTTTACTTCACTAAACTGTGCCATTGACCTCGTGGATATCAGCTGTTCACGATCGGATTAGATATTAATTCCTAAAATAGTCTAAGTATTTTTAGTTCTGACGTTAATATAAGCTGTTGCTTCTTATTGACATTATGGAGTCTGCTAAGACGCATGTTGGTTAATCTTTGTTTTACACCCACGTTACACATTTATAAATTAAGGTTACAATAGGCCTACTGTAGGCCAACATATAGACTCTAGGCCCAATTTTTATTTAGCTCACTACGTCATACTGTCTCCTCTTCTGTTTGTGGCAAACCCTGTAGCTCAGTTTTGACCCATTTTTAATGCAGCTATTACGTTTTAACTTTCAAGATAGGCCTACCTTCGACTCCAAAAACAACGCAAGAATATCTAAATTTTAATCGAATTAGATAAAATCAGTAATTAAAAATGAATTTATGATTACCAAAGCCAATTACAACAGGGGAGATAACAGGATTAAGCACCAGCGAATAGCCTGGTTACGGAGGTAAACTGTTGGTCACGGGTGGCTGGTTTCGTTTCGGCCTTGCAGCAAATATTAGTGGCATCTGGTTTTGATTTAGACCTTAAAAACGAACAGAATGTTCAAAAATAAAACGTCATTTATTGCCGTCACAGACCTGCTCAACTGCCATCGAGTCACACGCGCTGATCCTTTTATTTATAGCTTAATCGATCTACTAGATCGATGACTGACAAGGTTCATCGATAAACAGACTCCATACTCTAAGGGCCTATGTTAATCCTTTTTGTAGCTAAACGACCGCAAATTTTGGGGTCCCTAATTTTGGCGAGTAAGGGACAGCGTGGTAGAACGCTAGAGCACACCATGGCTAAAACAGAAGTTTCGAGGTCCTACGACGTCACGGATTACACTCAGATTCGATTGGTACCTGACTCGAGATTAGGAAAGTAAGGGTGGCTGGTCTTAGTGCTGACACTCACATGCCGAGGTCAGAGTAATAAAGACAGTCTACCGCACCCCCCCCCCCCCGAACGAAATGGAATTTATATTAAAAAATATATACTTTTACCAGTGTCCGCCCCCCCCCCCCCCCCACCCCCAGGAGAAAAAAAGTCGGGAAGAAACACTGTCTGCCTCTTTGACGTTCAGATCTGAAAAGGAATTACTTACGATCTCCCCCCCCCCCTCCCTTTCAGGTTAACGTTTGCTTCTGGAATTATTATTCTCGCTTATTTAGCATTTCATTACAAATAAATATAGATCTATATGTTGGTTCAGTTGGCAATTTTTTTAACATCGAGCCTAACCACAGCTCTAGGCCTACATTTACCAAAATACATTTTATACTGGGATCTGGGAAACTAAACATAACAATTTAATGCGTGTGATAATTTTGTCCCCCCCCCCCTCCGTAAAAGCTATTATCCTTTCGTACATTGCATTCTGAAATATTGATAATCGATATTCATGAAATTTTCCGTGCAGACAAGCAATTTTTGTGTCACTTATATTTAATTAGGTCAGCGGAAGCTGTTTGTTAACCAACAGGAAATGGTTTATTAATCGACGTCACAGCATTGTCTACAAGCTTGGAAATAGATAGAACATAGGGGGGTTCTTTAGTTAGCCATGCATCCATACTATACTTCAATCCAATAAATAAAAGCGGAAGATAACATTTATGTTATTTCTTTCTTCTCCCTTGGCATCAGAGAGTCGTGGTATGACTTCTCTCTAGTGAGCGTAGGGCAAGGGTCACTACGGAGCATAGATCACACTTCTCCCTAATGGGCGTAGGGTAGTGGTCACACTTCTCCTTTGTTAGACTAGGACCGGGGTCACACTTCTCACTAAGGGGTATAGACCACAACTCTCCCTAGTTAGTCTAGGACCGTGTCACCCTTCACCCTAATGACCGTAGGGCCGGGGTCACACTTCTCCCTAGGGGCCACAAGGCAGACTTTTCATTGGACAGGGGTCAGTCAGACTCTCTTGAGCATAGACCATACTTCTCCGTAGGGAGTGTAGTGCTGTGGTCACACTTCTCTTCTACAAAATACATATTTCTGGTGCGAAAGTCTGGAGAGTTTGGCATTCTATTACAAGGGCATAAGCAAAATCAGGGGCGTGTAGCGAGGGGGGGGGGGGGCGGGGGCGGGGGTGCGGACCGCACCGGGTGACACCATTTAGGGGGGTGACACCAAGGCAAAAAATAGCAAAATATATAGAGAAAAACTTGAGGGGGGGGGGGGTGCAAATCGAAAACTTGAGGGGGGGGGGGTGCAAATCGAAAACTTGAAAGTTTGTCCCCGGGAAGGGTCGCAACGCCTCTGGGGGGGGTGACACCATTAAGTGCCGCACCGGGTGACACCCGACCTCGCTACGCCACTGAGCAAAATAATTATTTTAACATTTGGTAGTTCTAATCACAAAGTACAAAAAAAAAATATTTTAACACATTGAAGTTATAGTTATCTGTTTAATAAAGAAGAACCATCTGACATGGGATCTTATTGCTCTGGTAGAATTAAATTAACAATTTTAAAAATTATTTACTTCAGAATGACCAAAAGGCAATCAAACTTTTTCAACTGTATATAAAAGTACTCTTTCTTACACATTATGTTTATGTCAATGGATACATTCCAGATTCAGTAGCAGATTAGATTAAGAAGTTAAGTGCAGTAGAGATTACACAACTGTACAACACCATTTTACTTCAGTGCAAAAAAAAAAATTATTAAAGAAACTTTAAAAACACATTTATATATACTAAACAATAATCTAACTTTCATCACAATAACTATAACCAACACTAAATTTGATATCTATAGTGACCAGTAGCTAAGTAAAGAAAGAAAAATGATGTAAGAACTGGGTATAGCATACAGTGTCTTATCTAACTTAAGTGCTGGTATTTCAAGATAGCTTGGTGTTTTCAAGAAGTAAAATAAGTATCAAAAGGCAGAGATTTTGAAATTTGATAAATTATTTAAATGTTTGATATAAAATATCTTTTTGTTTGAAGTGATAAATCATTCTGACACAACAGAGCTTTTCTCTAAGTCTAATGTTCCCTCTGGGGACAGTGAGCTGACACCCAACAGAACAGAGGAACCTTCTATTTGAACAGACAACATACCACACATACTAATCTTCACACATACTTTACACACAAACAATCAGGAAGTTAATACAACAGTATTGATTTTTTTTTTATTACTGTGGTGGTGGTTGTAAATCACACATGTGCAAGATAGTAAGTATTTAAAACACACAGCCCAACTAGACAAAAGAAATTCTTTTTTTTTAGTAACTATAATTTATAAGTCACATGTATGTGACACAACCCAGCATTTACACATAAAGCTTGCCCTTAATACCATACATCATTCTCACATAACAAAGCTTATACTTAATGCCATACATCACTCCACATTCACAACAAAATATAAAATATCAGAGTCTCATCATTTTGATTCTCACAACAGCAACACAAAGCTTTAATCCATAAAGCCAGCTACAACATTCTTTTGTGTGTTACACACTACGTAATAAATATGTCTTTACAGTGCATTTTTTGATAAAAATTTTATCATAGAAAGATCAAGGCTGGTCACGAATAAATTTGCATTATTAACCACTCTACACAGATTTTTATTATTTCTTTAAACTTGTCTAAAAATACATACTCAGACTACCAATATCTGCTGTCAGAAATGTAACTCAAGACCTAAAATAAACAAAACATTCCATGCCAAGCCATTTTGTGTTTCACTCAATAATAAAAAAAAAAGTTCTGAAGGCAAAAGTTTTAAATTATAAGGAAATATAAAAAAATATAATAATTAAAACCAAAACAAGTTTAAAAGAAAGAAATGTTTTTGCTATTATCAAAATTTGTTGAAAATTTTCTTGAAAGGGAAAACTATTATTTAAAAAGAAATACAGCAAGATACATCTCTGGTTTATTGCATGCTGATTAACCATGTTTATGCTCACACTGCAGACAATCTAGTTCTCTAACCTTAAAAGAAAATTTTGATAGACATGTATTATCCAAGCAGATACATCCATGCCCAAGGTAAAATTTAAAATAAAAACAACAGAAAAAAAACCCAGAGATGCCGACTTAATGTTCATTGAGTAATTCAAACTGTGCATTGGTTTATTTTATTTTGTTCACAATATTTAAAAGTTAATTGATAAAATATACTTAAAAATGGAATGAGATGATGAAATGAAAGCAATAATGCCTTACTAACTAGGCAGTCTTTTTAAAGTTATTTTCAAACGTTCCAACACCGAAGCAAAAAGAGGTGGGGTGATATATCAAGGTTTGTTTTTATTTAAAAAAATTTTTTTAACAAAATTTTATTTAAATCTTATGCTTCTGCCCACACATTTTAAGTTTAAATATTTAAACACATTTTTTTTTTAAAAGTTATAAAGAAGGTATGGAAGACTAAAATAATAGCTTCTCTACAATGAAGGTAAGATAAAATTTAAAAATCTGGGAATTGAGATCACAATTTTTTTTTTAAAGAGCAACTGATGACACCACCACCTATGATTTTAATGGTACTTTCTAGATGAAAGAGCTTACACATAATTCAGTTGTTAGTTCTCTATGTGTGGTAGAGATGTGAAAAAAAGGAGCACACGTGGGCTAACACAACTACACACCATAATACTGTTCTAATGAGTACAATACAAAAGTGTGTACACAGAAAACAGTGTGAAACACTAGGGTAGAAATACACTTGTCTTGTATAACCATGGTAGAATATCAGTGGACAACATTCATCATTGCATGGGGGAATATAACATTTCATAATACATCTAGATAATTACATCCATGATTATAACCAGTCTGGACACAACATGTGGCTTTTAAAATTTACCTAAACAAAATTTTCTCACTAAATAAGCTAAGATAAAATATTATATTGTGTTAATATTTGTTAACTTATGTAACTATTTAGTTTCATGATTATGAGGTTAGTCATATGTAGCACCTAAAATGTACTTAAACTACATAACTGAACAAACAGCTCAGACAATCACATATGTAATTTTTCTAAATGGTAGTTATCAGCCTAGTGTTAGTAAAAGCAAAATAAAATGATGGCAAGTTCATCAAAGCATATAGTGAAGAGACCCTTTACTTTTTTAATCACTTCCAGTCTTATTAATAAATTATGCTTTTTTCTCTCTTTCAGACTTGATTACCTATTCAACATTAAAAAAATTAAAATAAGCAAAAAAATTAAAGCCTTCAATTCTAGAAGAAAAAATAAAAGATCAATAATTTAACTACTGAAATGGTTCCTTTCTTACAGAATTCTTTGAAAACTGTAAACCACTTCGTAAAGATAATACTAATTGCAACTAACTTTATAAATTAAAAAGTTTTTTCAAGACAAAAGCACTAATTTAATTAATTATTTTTAAGAGCTCTAAAATAAGCAAAATTTTCTAAAACTAGCAAATTATCTAAATATGTTTAAACCTGATTTAAAGGCCATACAATAATCTGTGTCACAATAGAGATCAGTCCAACAATCTAAGAAACAAATGCAGCTCCACTCTACTCCACCTCCCTCATTATACAATCCCCAAGTGTAAGTCTGTAGTTGGCAATCTCTGATATACCATGGTAGTGAACAAAGGCAGCGGCCAAAACAAAAACATGGAAAATCTGGTGGCTCTGGAACTGTGGGTACAAATCAAATAGAAAAACAATTAAGCCTTTATCATGATTATGGTGTGAAGTTATCAAATTCATGCATTTCAAAATACTTTCAAGAGATATACCTAGTGTTTTACTAAGTATTACTACTACTTATGAATACTACTTATTACGAAAATGCTAATTCAGAAATATCTCGAAGCTTACTTGAAGAAAAAGATTCACAACACACAGGTCTAATTAAGAACTTTAAAAAAAATCTTATTATTAATTATATCATCAGCCAAACATTTTTTTGAAAAAATTCTTGGATGAGTATCACTAACCTACCCTAATCATGGGCCTACATAGTAAACTAGCAGACAAAAATCTTGACACAATGAAATATTATCCTGCCTACATTTTTATCAGAACCAAAAGAAAAAACATATTTCAGACAGACTTACCCAGATATCAAATTTTCCTGGGAAAATCCTCTCGGGTATCCTGGCAGCATAAATGACAGCCCCAACAATGTACAGTAAGGCCATCAGGACAAGCCAACCCAGGGCAGCAAAATTGATTGCATGCCAGAAGCCATCAGTGATGACGTAGTGCATAGCAGGAATGACACCACTGAGCCCCAACGCAATAAACACGCCTGCAATGAGGAAAATATTCAGATAATCAATAACTGACTAACCAAATATGTTTCAGTTATAACTTAACTTTATTTCACCTGCTACATCCATTCACAAAGTACAAGCACACCTATAATCTAAATAAGACAACCAACAGCCCATACTAATCAATTCAAGCATGTACTGATGATCCACATGGCAAATGAAGAAGTTATTTCATGTACACAAAGGGTGTAACAATTTACACTATACCCTATCAATCAATCTTGGGTGGACAAAATGACATTGGATTCAATCATAAGAGCAAGAGAAATAGAGTTCACCTGTTTCTTTGACATCGGCTTATGAAGGGATAATGTGGTCAGCACTATACCCAGCTGTCTTTACTTTCTCTAACCTGAGTTAGGTACCCATCAGAGCTGGGTGGACTCCGGGACATTCTACTGAATTGAATCTGGATTCGAACTCAACAGCTTTTGCGGTAACAGTCTAGCACTCTATCCCTAGGTCAAGCCGTCCCTAGTCATTTATGTACTAAATAAAAATCAAACCCCTGAATATAAACTGCCATCTACATGAACACTAGCCTTTAAACCCAGAATGACAAAACTTCTTACCAGCTCTCAGAGGTCTGTACTGTGGCTGGGCAAACTTGTCCCACATAGAAACAACAATGCATATGGTCCCCAGGAAAAAGATCAGGGCTAAGTAAGTCACCTTGGGCTCCAGCCTACAGTAGAAGCTGTAGTACAGCCAGGGCACAAATGAGCCAATTGTCAACAGAGCTATGCCACAGTAGTCCAGCCTGCAAGACAAGTTGGGTTTATTTAATAGACTAAAAGGTTTGTTTCGTTTTTAAATGTTGGCATTGGCTGTTGTAGAAACTGTTTGCATGAAATAAAAATAATTTCAAACATTTAATTATAATTTAAAGAATTCCAGTATCGGCCTTAGTCTCATATCATAGCTAACTCCATGACGTCTACATAATAAAAAGACAGTATAATTATATACAAGTAACTACATAAACGACATATGATAAGTGTTTTCAATGCTTCATTTTAATAATTACAATCTTTTAATAGACTATTAAAGGTTCTGAAAAATGTAACATATGTGGAACTGTGTTTAACAGACTAACAGCCCAAGCCGGTACTCTTCATTTTAACTTCTTCTTCGTTCTTAATTTTAATGTTGAAAGGGATTCCCTCCAACACAATTAAGCAATATATTACTTTACTGTCAATTTTGCAAATAATTGTAATAATAATTGTATCTTTTGTGAAAAACAAAACAAACAACAACTTACTTGTTGAAAAATCTGCCGACACGCTCACTGTGGCAGTAAACAGTGTGGAACACCCATGAGAAACCCAGACACAAGATGGCCCCCATAAAAAAGGCTGAGAACACTGCCTTCTCCTGCCACTGGATCTCAATGGAGGGTCGAGTTAAGAAGTAGGCAGCGATGCCCAGAAAGGCTATCATGCCTAAAACAGAAAAGATTTTCTCAACTTACAACAATTTCTAAACCAATGTAACTAAAATTTAGCTGCTTTAATTTCAAAGTAAAAGATGTAATACGAGCAACAACATAAAAAAGTTATTTAAGTAATCACAGGTATAGCCTGCAAAAAAACATCCTTTGATTTACCTAACAAATGTGTCCAGATGTTCCCAGTTTCTGTGTGAATTCTAAAAATAGACTTGAAACATGCCATGAAAGAATTTGTTGGAACACGATGACCTCTGAGCAAAAAGTCATTATCCTTGAGCCAGTCTGGTAGAGTGTGATGGTGTGCAACATTCCACCCAGCAGCCCAGACCTGAAACACATTTTTTTTAACCATCACATTTAGCAAAATCTCTGTATCAACCAAATACCACAACAACCAATTTAATATGCATGTAACCCTTTGTTCATCTCATTTAGCAAAAAAGATTTTTTTTAGTAACAAAAGGCAAGCGAATAAATTTAGCAAATCACCTTTAGAAATTACCCCATACCGACAACTATAACACAGAATTTTAAAAAGAATTACTTTTGACCAAAAAAAAGTTTAAAAAAAAAAAGAACCCACCTTTTTGACAAATTCTTCAGCTTGCTGGGCACACTTGCTAGGCACATTTAAAAGGGATGTATCCACACCATCCAAATCTTCATCCAATTCAGGTGGTAATTTTTCATCCTACGTTTCAGAAATAAAATAGTTTAAATTCAACAATGCATATTTTTCAAAACAAATTTTGATTTATACACATTGGAACCATAAAAACACTAACTAGTTGGTGTGAAGATAAAAAAAATGACAAACCTCAGCCCTCAACAAAGATCCTATTTCACTTTTTTTATATCCATAGCCTGATTTGGTCTTGCCTATATCAGCATCATCTAAATCAGAAGGGAGATCAAATGAACCTAATCCATCAGCACCATCTGCCTGATAGCTCCCATTTAACAGTGAACCCTCATCAATATTCGGCTCTTCTGTGATTGTGTCTGCGCAGTTTACTTTGTGTCTGTTGAAGGAACCACTCGAGTAACCTGAGGACATCTTCTGATGGCACACCTGAGGTATGCCCAAAATGGCTCTAAATGGATTTCAATTAAATGTTTTGGTAAATAGTTCTTTGGCTCTATTAACCTATTATTCTGGTCACTCTTGAACTTTTATCTGCTGAAAAAAGTAAGACAAATTTTAATTATAATGAACTGAAAGTGATCTAGTGTGAAATAATTAGGTGTTAGTATTAAACAGCAGTTGTTATCATATCACCTGGAGCATTATTAAAAAGTTGAACTAATAACTATTTTAAAATAATTAAACTAATAAACAAGACAATGAGAAGAATTTAGATAATCAGTAACTTAGTTATCAGGCTATAGGCCTATAGGGCCTATATTTATAGGTTTAAAAGCCTTTATAATTTAAAACAGATCAGACTACAGGCTAGATTCTAGACATTTTGATTACATAACTCATTACTAAATGAATTTCATAAGAACTTAGAGTAGGCCTAAGTACTTTTGGAATCAACAAAAATTAAGAGAAAATATGTTAATTGTAATGTTGGATGGGATTAGGCCATATATGATATAGGCTGTTGACTCCAAATATTTTCAGCCTGTTTTTTTTTTTGGATTATCTTCCAATACATAGATTTTGTCTATGCAAGGACAAAATGCAAGGCAGAAGTTGTTTGATTTTGGAGACTACTCTCCTATATGATTTGCTGTTCCCAGTTATCCAGCCTCATCTGCCTGGGGGTTTGATTTGAACTCCCTATAATTTATAGATCTAGGTTTAATCAGTAATCTTAAACCGGGAGGAATTTTTATACCAGTCTCCGATAATAGAATCTTTTTAAAAAAAAGGGGTGTTAGGTTACTGGTAGTTAACTAAATACACACATTGCTGGCTAACGTCAATGCCATGCTAACCTGTACCTAACCTTAGTCCTACCATATGCCTAACCCTAATTTCTAACCATAAAGTTAGTCGAGATTACAATACTACTAACAACCCAATACACTTATTTTATAGAAGGAGTCTATGTTCTGATTATCAGACATCTATATCTAAAATTATCCCTAAAATCTAACATGCCCTATTTATAATATAAATAGGCCTAGAGATAGTATAATATTGCTTTACTATAGATAGGCCTAAGCCCTAATATCTAGATTATGCCTAGGCCAGGGCAAAATTTATGATTAGCCTAACTATTAAAAAGAACTAGATCAAGTACATCTAGATTATTCTAGATCTACTAGCTAACTACTAACCAGATATAGAATTATAGATTAGAATGTATTAGAAGAATTCCTCCCAAGAATGAATGGATAGTGGATAAATCTAGATTTAAATTAGGCATAGGGGCCTATAGGTCTATTTGATAATGGTAATCTATCGTTTTGGGTACGTAAAATCGCCCGCGGCTATTAAATTAATGTACGAAGTATATTGTGATATGTTTGTGTCAAATATTATAGATAAATGAATAATAAACATAAATCAATGGCTAAATATATCAATATAGGCCAGAAATTAACTTTAAACAGCAGTGTCTGAGAGCAAGATTTGCTATATAAACTGCAGCCATTTGTAAAATAGAGAGACTTCCGCCTGAATCTCGCGCTATAAGTCTATAAAAATAAAACTTTAACAAGATGGCTGCTATAGTAAATGGGCATGGTTGCATCTGTTGGAAACATCGCTAGTCTTCATTTATTACTAAAAAGTTGTAATTCAATTGTTTAAAAACAGGTACATAAATGAAACAAGGAAACATTTTTGTATTTTTCAAAACATAAATCGTCCTCAAAATGTGAAATAATTATTAAAATGTAAGGAGTCACCTGTTTTTCACATTACTAGTCGCGGGCGATTTTACGTACCTAAAACGATAGATTACCTTGATAATATCTATCTATAGGCCTATAGCCTAATAGTACTATATATTACTAGATCTAGATTAAGAACTACTAACTTACTTATTATTAATATTAGGCCTAATAGATTAAATTCTAGATCTAGGCCTAAAACTTTAATTAAAAAAGTTTAGGCCTAGGTTTTACCGTTTTAGATCTATAGGCCTATTAAATTTACATAAATTACCATCTAAATCAGGTTATTAGGGTATAAAATTTTATTAGGCCCTAATAACTAATAATATTTAATAGGCCTATAGAATAATATAGATCTAGATATCTAGGTCTAGCCTAATTCTATTAGCAAGCAATAATATTCCCACATCGCCTATGCTGCCCTGTAGTAGTGTAAGCTGGGATGAAAAAAATCCCGTTACTAAGCCCCTGCCTAAGCTAGGCCTAGGCCTAAGTGCGAATGCACTTTGATTTTGATGGATTTTCAAGCAGAGTACGCAGTACGGCCTTATTTATTTTGTAGCTGTTTTGTCACTTTCAATAACTTAAATATTAAAATTAGGCCTATGGATACTATTCAATCAATAAGTAGATCTAGTATACATTTCTTCTTCTAATACCAAGTTTTATAAAATAATGGAGTAAAATCATGTTACTCTACAGTGTGACCTAGATTATAGATCTAGTTCGCAACTGACCTACAACACACACACTGACTACTGTTCTAATTTTAGCGATACTGGAAAAAACACAAAATGGAGTTCACCATTTTGAATAACATAAAATGATACAAGACTATACATTGACCGCTGTATTCACATACTTAACACTTATTTCTTCAAAACAAAGCGAAAAGGTTGATAAAATATTTAACCAGGCATAGCTAATCCACACCTGATCTTCTCTGAAAATGTTGACATCCAGACACAAGTATAGTAAAAATAAACACGCCACTATTCGTCATCAAAAGTTGCTGTCTAGCCTATTCAGCCTCAACAAGTGTGTAGGCAGGAATTGGTGACGTAGTACTCAGAGCTTATTTTTTCCTTTACCAGGCCTAGCCAGACTTTGATTTAATAAAGTCTAAACACGTGTAAGAAAATGTAAAAAAAAAAAAAAAAAAAAAATAAAGCAAATGAGTTCGTGGAAAATCAACGGATAAGTCCCTTTATTTAGTCGATTCTAATATTTTTAATAGCTTATGCACACGACGAATAAGATTGCCGATTTTACGTGTGACAATAGCATGAAAGGGTTTTGGGCAAATACTAAATAGGCCTATTGGCTAAAAAAGGTCTTACGTCTTTTATGAATTTCACCCAAATAATTTTATTCAAATTTTAAACTGACCAAAACCACCACATCTCTATAAATTGGGCCCTATAACATTTAATTAAAAAACTAAAAAATTAAAAAGTGTCGAGTCAGACTTTTTGAAACCACCCTCGTCACCAAAAATGCAACCCCCACCGCCTAGAAGTGTTATATGGCCTATAACAGTGCGATAATTTCACGGATTCACTAAGTTGGTACTGGCGTCAATTAAGATTCTTATAAACATGCTGTTAGTATAACAGTATAACACAGTGGCTTATCTTCTAGTTTAGCTTGTAGTAGGCCTATACAGGTTAAGATTTATGTTGATATTTAACAAGACAAAGATCAGGGCCATAGACACGAATCGGGTCAGAACAAGAGTATTGATACTAACGAAAATCAGTCAAAACGTCTCTGAGTCCGCACAGCTCTGATAGGTACCTAAGTACCTAACTCACGTAAAGAAAAAGTAAAGGACAATACACGCATTAACCACTCTTAGGGCTTTGACCGTAACATAACTAATCTATAACTCCTAACATCCACAATCATTTTAAAATACAAAGTAACGTAATTTGATTTTTAAATTGTTTCTAATAAACCCTGTATTTAAACAAAAAGTTCCATACGCGAAATGCATAATGTCGTGTTGATCTTTAGGCCATTTGCCTTATAACCGAACAGATGGTTGTAGAAAGACCTCATGGTAAAATGGTAGATCTGAAAATTAAAAATATCAGAAAGGTGTGCACCTTCATAACCTAATTACACAACAGCCGTTATCGACCCGTTTATTTATGATTACAAAAAAAAAAACACAAAAAAAAACTCAGTGGCAATGTTATATGGATTATTTTTATAAGCTTTTAGATCTATATAGGTCAAACTGTTTGTTTGTCTGTTCGTCTGTCTGTGCGTTTGGGGAAAATTTTGAAATTCAACCCCGTGCTTATTTCGGACACATGTGATCATATTATAGTTAGCTTCTATTTAGATCTATATGCTGATATATTTTTCGAAGTTTTGAAAAGAAGTTTGACTTACTTAAAATAATGCATGGGAGTTGATTTTCAGTTTCGGCGTGGCGTATTCAAGAGTACGCTAGCCATGATAAAAGTTAAGGGTTCGGATCCGAGTATAATTGTTTTTTATTCTGTTTATAGTATCAGTTAGTTAGTCCTCTTTGCTCCTTATGGAGCATAGGGCCTCCACCATTTCCTTCTATTTCTTCCTATCCTCGGCTATTAATTTTGACATCTCCCAAGACCTATCTATTTATAGTATAAATGACATTAATGATATATTATTTAACGCATTTTCTCTAAGGTAGGATTAGGTCCAGGGGTCAGCAACCTGCGGCTTGCGAGCCGCATGCGGCTCTAATGATGTCAGGGTGCAGTTCCACAATAATTATTTTATTTTCATAACTTATAAAAATAGTATACTTTAAAAACAACTTTAAACAAGATAAAAACACTAAGAATCGGCGGAGTAAAGCGTATACAAACAGCTTCTTAGGCACAAGACCCAGCCCCACAACTGTGCTGTGGTCAACCCTCAGTGATTCCATGCTTTCCATTACCGACGTGCACATTTTAATTTTTTTCGAATATTTTTAATAGTATTGTTATTTTATTCAGATGGCATTTTTTATGTGTCATTGTGCATTAATTTGACTTGAGTGAAATAGTTTTTTACAAGCTTTTATTTAACTCACTTCCTCTGTCGTCAGTCGTAAGTCTGTCTAGACGGAAACGCAGGAGTGAAAATTCGGAAACTTCTACTTGACCGATACGATTCACACTTGGCACGTGGGTCAAGACATGAAGACAATGCAATCTGAAACTGAATTTGACTTAATTGGATGCCTAATTAATTTTTTATGAATTAATTAAAATTTGGACCGAATTAGTAGGCATGTCTAGCCAACCACACCACACGCGTCATCACCTTCAATAGCTGCGCCATCACGTAATGGCTGCGTTCAAAAACCATTGCGCGCCTACTGAACGTGATGTTCAGTAGGCGCGCAATGGTTTTTAGTCATGTAACTCTATTGTAAATAAAACATGTAAAGTACTGAAAAAAAAAATTCATAAAAAACGTTTTAATAACAAGCTTTTATGTAATGATGCACTAAAAAGTAGAAAATAAATTATAGACTACTATTTAAATAACTATAAAGAAAAGCGTGGGTCTCTTCTCAAATATTAGTAAAGGTATCCAATAGGTACTAAAGTACTAAAGTGACCCACGCTTTTCTTTATAGTTATTTAAATAGTAGTCTATAATTTATTTTCTACTTTTTAGTGCATCATTACATAAAAGCTTGTTATTAAAACGTTTTTTATGAATTTTTTTTACAAGCTTTTATTTAACTCACTTCCTCTGTCGTCAGTCTAGACGGAAACGCAGGAGTGAAAATTCGGACAGTTCTACTTGACCGATACGATTCACATTTGGCACGTGGGTCAAGACATGAAGACAATGCAATCTGAAACTAAATTTGACTTAATTGGATGCCTAATTGATTTTTAATGAATTAATTAAAATTTAGACCGAATTAGTAGGCATGTCTAGCCAACCACACCACACGCGTCATCACCTTCAATAGCTGCGCCATCACGTAATGGCTGCGTTCAAAAACCATTGCGCGCCTACTGAACGTGATGTTCAGTAGGCGCGCAATGGTTTTTAGTCATGTAACTCTATTGTAAATAAAACATGTAAAGTACTGAAAAAAAAAATCATAAAAAACGTTTTAATAACAAGCTTTTATGTAATGATGCACTAAAAAGTAGAAAATAAATTATAGACTACTATTTAAATAACTATAAAGAAAAGCGTGGGTGTCTTCCTTAACATTAGTAAAGGTATCCAATAGATACTAAAGTGACCCACGCTTTTCTTTATAGTTATTTAAATAGTAGTCTATAATTTATTTTCTACTTTTTAGTGCATCATTACATAAAAGCTTGTTATTAAAACGTTTTTTATGAATTTTTTTTTGGTTATTAGCTTCTAAATTGTGTAGGGATAGTGTTATTTTGTTTTGCGCGAAAATATAGTTTTGCGCGAATACATAGTATTTCATACTTAAACCAATTTATTTCAAGCTTTTATTTAACTCACTTCCTCGTCAGTCGTCAGTCTGTCTAGATCGAAACGTGGTAGAGATATGAAGACAATGTATCGTGACATTAAATTTGACTTAATTGGATGCCTAATTAATTTTTTAGGAATTAATTAAAATTTTAACCAAATTAGTAGGTATTTCTATCCAACTACTCCACACACGTTCAATAGCGCGTCATCACGCAATGTTTTTAGTCATGAAACTCTATTGTAAATAAAAACATGTATAGTACTAAAAAAATTCATTCAAACGTTTTAGTAACAAGCTTTTATGTAATAATGCACTAAAAAGTAGAAAATAAATTATAGACTACTATTTAAATAACTATAAAGAAAAGCGTGGGTCTCTTTCTAAATATTAGTAAAGGTATCCAATAGATACTAAAGTGACTCGCGCTTTTTTTATAGTAATTTAAATAGTAGTCTATAATTTATTTTCTACTTTTTAGTGCGTTAGTTCATAAAAGCTTGTTATTAAAATGAAAACGTTTTTTTATGATTGGTTAAAGTCGATTTTGGTTTGACACCGTTCATCCGATCGATATCAAACCTTGGGGAGTCGATTAGAACACTCAAGGTAAGGGATCTGCAAAAAAAATTATTTTGTAATTTCGCAAGGGCGGCGCCCCGGAACTCGGAAGGGTTCGATTATTCTCTATATACGGTATATAAATAATAAAAGTCAGATGGGGTTCGACACTTTTCATCCGAGTGCCATCAATTTTTGGGGAGTTTATGAGAATACTCCCGAAGATGGTTTCTGTGAACAAAATAATGAAAATATGATATGAGTGGCGCCTGCGAGGGTGTGATTTTCGCCAATACACAATTTGGCGCCCAGAGTTCCAGAGCGGCTACGTTAGCACGTGGCATCCGCTAATCGTGCGTCCTGCATAGCGGGTAAGGAGTAATACTATACTCAGCGTAAAAACTTCAAGAGGCTCAACCGTCGGCGCCCCGTAGATTGCACGACCCGAAACGCCCCGGGCTCCCCTGCGAACATTATGGCGCCTACGTTTATTTAAAAAAAGGTTATACACAAAAGACACGATAGGCAACAACAATCATTGACTATATCAAACCAGGCGCCCCTGCAGGGTTCAATTTTGGTTTAGAACGAACGTAGGTGCCATTGCGAAACGTGCATGTTTCTCAGGACCTACAAATCTTCTTAATTGCTCTAGTCTTAAGTTCTGCGAACTAATCACTCCACAAATGTTTGGTTTTCAAATCCAGCAATTTCATTTGAAGCGAACCAGCATCAATTCCAAATACCTCAAAGTTAATCTTATTTGTTTTTGTGTTGAGATGATCTACTATGAACGTCATCGTACTTTGATTTGTTATGGATTGCTCAGATCTCAGTGATTCCATCCTTCATTTTGTTTATCGTAATGCTGTAGTAATTCATGTTAATAGTAGCATTGGTTTCATCATGACATTTTTTTTTCAAATTTATCGAAATTTGGTAATTTATCACTCTCCGTATCTTAAATAAAAAAAAGTAATTTTTTTTTCGTAACAATCCTCTTCTTCAAGCAAGGCATAGGCTGGGTTTTCCTTTGATTGCATTTTTACATTTTGCTCGTTTAGTTTGTTTGTGATATCCACTATGACGTTGAATGTTTCAATTTGGGATGGACAATTTAATTATTAATAGGAAGTACATTAAAATACGGAGTAACTAAATATTTGAATAGAATTGTGAGTATTTATTGTTTACATTTATAAATATATCGTTCATTAACGAGTGTTGCAGAACACTATTCTTATGGGTTTTGAAAATAAAATAATTATTGGTATTTGTACATGGAGCTGAAGAGCCGCATTTCCACAACAAAGGAGCCACATGCTGCTCTCCAGCCGCAGGTTGCCGACCCCTGGGTTAGGTGATAGGGTTGTATGTATGGGTTGATGTTTAGTATTTTTTTTTTTAACAAATGGAATTTATTTTTAATACAACTAATGACAATGTAGTATACATCAACATCTAATCCTCTGGTCGCTTTGGGGGAGGTCCACAAGGCTGGAGCATTTTCTCCATGATATTGAAACGTACACGTGCTCTGGATTCATTTTCAACAAGACTAAGATGATTGAGCATGTCAAAATGTCCAAGATAAGAGGCCAGTGTATCCCTGTGCTGGTTTGTCAACCACTCCCATTTAGTTGTGTCTGCATGGCCAGTGCCGATATATTTGGACTGCAAATGTTCAAGCTGACTGTGGATATTGTACCTGTCTCCCATGTTCAAGCAACTATCTTGAATTATATGAGATTTCTAAATAAAAAGTAAACGATTCCTTTTGACACTGTAAGTTACTGACTGTGTAAGTATGTTTAGTAAACGTTAGTAAAAAGATGACGCTTGTGTAGCTGAAATTGTTTAGTGTTTGTCAGTTTCTTAATTATTATACCGAAAAACAATTATCCGTTTCTGTTTCCAATATCAGTTTATATTTAAAAATAAAAAATAAAAAAATATTGCTGCATTTTCTATCGAATATCGTTTATGTTATATATATATATTTACAAAAATAACAAGTAATAACATTATATATTTCGTTATTTTTGTAATTATTTCTATTATTTTGCAGTTTTGGATTATTATTTGTTGTAGCCTCCCTTGATTAAGTTAAGAGTTTAAAATTTGTAAGAAATTACATAATAATTTTTTTTTTAAATTTGCAAGAAATTACATAACACTAATACATATTAATTTTCAATGCAAAATGTTAAATTTATTTTACATACAGTGTGCTTAAACTAAGTAGACAAAATGTAACGCTTAAAGTAAAACATATTAAGATAATAGGTGAACGTTGAAAACAAAAACATTCACGAAATTACCTTCAAAATTAAAATTTTTAAGATACAGTATAATCACAATAATATGTTATTTCTAAAAGAACGTTTTTTAAAGAATACTTTTTAATCGGGGCACACTGACCTCACCTTGTAACAAAAAAAAAAGCATTATTCCCACCTTGCCTTATCAAACGGCATTGTTCAGAGAGAGCGTGTAAATCAAATGCAAATTCTCTTCTTTTACCTGTATTGCACACCTGTCTAACTAGGATTCGCACTGGCATATCTACACACCAAGGTGCACGTCAAGAACATAACGTTTGACCATCTACACGATAGAGGCTATTAATATCATTATTGCTGACTCTGTAGATCTCCTTCAAAAAAATAAAATGGGAAAAAAGGAGTGGGGGGTGGGGGGGAGGGGGGGGGGGGGGGGGGAGGTTGATCAAGTCAGATTAAATTGATAATAAAAAAACAAATAATGAGCGTGATTGCAATCAGTAATTATTCACAATCAAGCAGAAAGAAACACTGTCATAAATCTAATACAATATGTTATATAAATATTGTTTACTACATACACACTTGCACACACACACACACACATATATATATATATATATATATATATATATATATATATATATATATATATATATATATATATATATAAAATATATATATATATATATATATATATATATATATATAATATATATATATATATATATATATATATATATATATATATATATATATATATATAAACTAGATCAAAGAAAGGACACTATCTTCTAAGAAATGACTGTATCATGATCAGATGTGTTCAGCCGTAGATTCTCAAAATTAGTACTGTCAACCAGAGATTTATATACAGGTAATCAATGCATCAATAGGAGTTGGGGCGGTGAAGGGTAGGTGGCAGGGTGTGTGGGGGGGGGGGGGGGGGGGGCATGTTCATCATCAAGGATGCAGCTGTCTTTGTCTTACCCAACATGAACACCAGGCCATAACCTCATGTTACTTCAATCATATTTGATGATTGCCCATAGGCTTAACGGATGTGTATCAATAATCGCTTAAAACGGTAAAGTACCGGATGGGACTGAAAGGTGGACACAGCTATGGAAGCGATTTTAAAAAAAAATAGTAATAATAGTTTATTTGGTCGTTTTACACATTTTCAAAGACATGAACATCAATTGTATATATAGTAATTAAACGGAGAAAGTAAAATGGCAAAATAACTAGACTTAAATAGGCTGTGTTTCTTTTTGAATGCTTAATTTACTGTGCTCCATCCTCAGCTTCGAAGTCAAAAGTTGTAGCTACCCTCGGCCAGAAACCAAAATGACAGTGGGAAAAGGGTCTCTGTATTACTCATACTGAATTCGACTTTTTTTTTCTATTTTTTAAAATCTTTATTGACACTTTGGAACAAGTACATCAGTAGAAACATATAATACATAATTTGTACAATGTGGCATGTATATTTAATTATATAGAAAAGAAGACATAAGTAAATATGTTTAGCAAACAAGGTTTAACTTAATACATATAATACATTAGAAAGATTCAAATGCTAAATTTAACTTAAAATAGGATGAAATATGGGTTACAACAAAAAAGAAAAAATATATATAAAAAATTGTATATACTGAATTCGACTTTTTTTTTTTTTTTTTTTTTTTTTTTTTTTTTTTTGAAGGAAAAAAGTTTATTTAAAAAAACTTTTTAAAAAATATGATCTAAATCCTGCCAAACATATTCATTATACTGAATTCGACTTGATATTTCAAGTCTCTCGATAATTTTATTAATTGAAATCGAAGACACTGTACACAATAGAACACATTTTATCAAGCGAATTAGAAGTTAGAAAATTATGGTATTGTAAAGTAAAACATAGATCAAAGATTAATTTGCTATTGATGTTAAAGTCAAACAATTAAAACTCTCCAAATAAAGAAAAAGTAACAAAAATAAATTAAAACTTGTTTTCTGTTTTATTATTATTTTTAAAAATAAATTATTTAAATTTGAAGTGTTTACCTACTTCAATGATTACGGGTAATTAATGTACACAAACCCATGTAATGAGTAAGTTAGCGCGAAGATCAAATGTTGCATGTGATTGCGTGAAGTTTTCTAGCAGAAATGGTATGTACTAGTAAAATATTTGGTTAGAAAACGGCAAAGTTTTAGCTGAAATGGTATGTACTAGTAAAATATTTGGTTAGAAAACAGCATATTTTAGCTGAAAGGATATGTACTAGTAAAATATTTGGTTAGAAAACAGCTTATTTGAGCTGAAATGGTATTTACTGGTAAAATATTTGATATTTGAAAGGGAAGAATGTTTGATATGATGTGTCTCATTGTAATCAACATAACTTTTTCGATTGCTTAAAATGTGTATCATTTTAATTTTCTCTAATACCAAATTTATTTCAGCTCTACTAGTACTTAAAAGCCCAAACCTCCCTAAACCCACCACGCCGATGGAAAAAAAATCCATTGAATCATCATTTAATTACACATTGCATTTTTATACCATTTCAGCAAAAATATAACGTTTTCTAACCAAATATTTTACTACTACATACCATTTCAGCTAAAATATACCGTTTTCTAACCAAATACTTTACTAGTACATACCATTTCAGCTATGGAAGCCATGTTGATTAATCAGTATAATTTCCGTGGAGTCACATAGTGCTTACTAAAGATGATTATACTCAACGATCGATCAATTTTACGAAATTTGAAGCAAACAAACTTGCTGTTCCTAAACCAGAAGCCGAAAATCTCCAAAAACTGCCGAATTCGTTTCTACAAACTGTTGTACATCAGTAAAGTACAGAGCGAAATATGGTACTAGTGATTTATAACTTCCTGGGTCTTTGACGACTAACTGTCCCCATCAATTTGCGACATTTGCTCGCTAAAATTTCGTTTTCTCCAGTCTTCGCGTCAAAGAAATGAGTTCCCATCAGCCGCGTGGACACGATGTGTCGAAAAGATCTTCCTTGATTCGCGACTATCCTAGGGGGAATGGGAAATTCCAGAGAAAATAGACAGAAAGACGGAGCAGAATCACATTTTCTCTAACAAGAATAAAAACAAAACAAACACCCTATAAAACTTTCTTGCTAAATTATCTACCCTTCGTCTTTCCTGTGTTTTCTTTCCTTAGGGTTACCGTTCCTTTGGGAGTCATCCATTTATAACCGCGGCACTAGATCGCGCAATAAAATCTATAAATCTAATAACATATAGAGCCTAATTTATACTAAGTCGTTTAAAATATACTTATTTTGTTCAACACTTTCTGGGCTCTACTTTAAATATTTAGGCCTTGTAAAGATGTTGCCGAAAATATCGAATTCCTCTATTATATTTACAGTGTTTCTTCCAGACTTTTTTCTCCGGAGGGACGGGGGGGGGGGGACTTGAAGAGATGCCTGAAAGAAACTCTGCATATTTATCAATTAACAGCATAGCAAGGTACACAATACATGTTATTGAATTTATAATTTAGCAGCAGGGTTTGAGAAATTTACTAATTTATTGTGGGCGTCCACAGCTGGGGAGGGGGGGGGGGGGGGATTTCGTCGAAAGTGGACGCGTGGGGGAGGGGGGGGGGGTCTAAAATTGTGTGGACGTCATAGGATGACCCTATATAGTAAAGTATCAGTGGGTCATACCCCCCCCCATAGACCCCTCGGTATATATATATATATATATATATATATACATATATATAAAGTATGAGGGGGTGCAAATCGAAAGTTTGAGGGGGGGGGGTGCAAATCGAAAGTTTGTCCCCGGGTAAAAATTGGACCCCCCCCCCTTGAGACGATCCTCTCTACGCCACTGTATAGTATGATATAGTTGCCACACTCGAGTTACCGTTCCTTGAGTTTTTATTTTTCTAAGTCTACCGCCCCGCTGTGGAAAAAAAAAATCGAGTTGTTTAAAACACTACGCACACACGTAGTTAAAACAAATTAAAATCAAATTGTCTACCTTAATTAACATTTATGTGTAGTAAATATGAATAGTCTACATCAATTTTTGTTCGCGTTACGTATTTTAACAAAACTATTCATCGCCATTGAAACGTCTTTTTTTAGGCCCCAATTATATAAAAGAGGGGTAGGTGGAATAGTTTAACAACTACAGACAGTCAAACATACACGATCGTTTGAGAACCGCGACTTTACAATGGAGAACCTTACTACAATAACTTTAAAGCTTTAGCGGTACCTCTGTCCACGGTTCCCTAAAGTCAGTCATGCGTGTCGTGTGTCGCCTGTGTTCCAAGCCAGGCCTATATTTGGACTGATCAATTATAACCCATTGTTTGTTTTAATTGACTACGTATCCTAACAGGGTTGCTGTGTGTTTGTGCGCCGTCTTGAAGTGTGGTGTCTCTGTGTCTAAACTACCGTCAGTGTTGATGGTAGTGCTGGTAGCGACACGGTGCTGTTGGTGTTTATACCACCTTGAGGTGAATCGGTAGCAATATTCTTATGTATATAATAGTGACTATAGGAGGATTTGTTTCATGTTTTTGTGTCATTCGTGTTTTGTCAGTAATCGCCTTAATCATATAACGAGATATCGATATAATCATACATGTGTAATAGTGGTTATAGGTGGAGTTTTCCAAGTATTGTTTTGTATTAGCCTATTCCGTTAGTGTTAAGTATCTGATGTGAAATCATTATATATATATATATATATATATATATATATATATATATATATATATATATATATATATATATATATATATACATATATATATATATGTATATATATATATATATATATATATATATATATATATATATATATATATATATATATATATATATATATATAGGGCCTATATATATATAGGGCCTATATATATAGGGCCTATATATATATATATATATATATATATATATATATATATATATATATATATATATATATATATATATATATATATATTTATATATATTTATATATATATATATATATATATATATATATATATATATATATATATATATATATATATATATATATATATATATATATATATATATATATTTATATATATTCCTTAACATGATATTAAACGGCCATTATTTGGGATTTTTAGATTGTCGTCAAGAATTTAAGTCAAGTTCGATCTTTTGAAAGTGTCCTAGATTTTATAGTTAAGCTTGTGGTTAAAAGCTTTACTATATCTGTATTCTGTATATCACCTTATACTTGACTATGCTGAACAAAGACCGACTGGTATATTATTGTCTAGGCGATTGAAACGTCTTTTAAAAAATGTTTTTTTCGTAGATCTCTATCTTTAAAAGACATACACAACAATGGAGAAACAAATGGCGGCAATTCGAATGCATCGTCATCTCAGAGCACAAACAGCAGGCCCAAAACACAAACAAGGGATCGGTGTTAAAGAAATTCGACCGGATACAGCTGTCGTGAAGCCAAACACAGAACAAAGGCACGACTTCCGTAAGGTGATAACGTACAGCAGTACACAGAAGTCATTCCTTCGGGCACCGGGGAAAACTGTTCATCAAACTGAGGCTCCACCTGATTCAAGCAGCCCGGATGTTGATCAAACGTGTTTATCTCGCGTCGAGCCCGATTTAGAACAGGACGAAGCTGTTTCGGAAATAAATGATTCTCTTTTGCCAGAGTTATCGACCGTTGAAGATGAACCATTAAAAGAAGAGATAAGTAAGTATGTATATATCTCAACAATATTGAATTAATTTTAAAAAAATTCTATAAAAATCATATGTTTATTATTATCACACTCTGATGATAAATCCATGAATAGAAATAGAATGTAGAATAAATTAATTTTTTAAATTAATAAACTATTATTACTTGTTAGATCTAGAAAAAGTCTAGTTTTTACTCACTAAAATTTAAAAAAATAAAAAAAATAATTTAAATTTATTAATTTGCAAGACTTTTTTAAAAATGTAATTAAATTAATGATAATCAAATACTAGGTATAGGATACATAGTAGACGGGACCTATACATTATTATTTAAAAGATAAGACTCTAAATCTACAATTTAGTAAAATTAAGGGGTGGGAAGGAGGGGGGGGGGGGGAATGTAGACATGCTTCCTGATCTCTGAAAAGAAACTCTGTTCTAGAGAGGCAGTTATGAATTGATAATTTTAAATGAATTAGTCTCTAAACTAATCATAAACCAAGGGTATCAATTGTGTTATTATATTCTTCTTATTATGTATGACTACTATATCAGCCAACTTTAAGATGCTAACTTAGAGACTATTAACACATTCAATATCTACTCTATTTTCAACAGTGTTAGGTTAATATTTTTTATTGTTCCCATTGATCTACCTCCAGCTCCTATACCAGCACCAGCCCTGACATTAGAGGCCTGGATAACTGGATCCCCTCACTCCAGTCGTGAGTTTGACACAGACACAGAGCCTGAGGTCTCAAACAGTGAGTACACGTAGAAGCTACTGTTGGTTTAGTGAGGCATACTACAGCGTATGCTTGGTTAGGGTTAGCAATTGGTCTACGTTTTGGAATTATTTTTTTTGCTTTAATGCTTTCCTTGGCAAATCTAAGACAAAAATTTCACCTAAGTATTGATCTTCAGGGGTAGATTGGGATCTTATAGATCCTATTAAAAAGATCACTTGTTAATGTAATAAAAAAAAAATAAAGCTCCCTTTTTTAATCTAACTGTGCATGGAGCAAGTGAAGTTTCTGTGAAGCTTCACTAGTTTCTGTGAACTTGGCATATGTAGGGATAGTGTGGTCAGCACTATAAACAGCCACCTTCATTTTCCCTAACATAAGTTTGGTACCCATCAAAGCTGGGTGAACTCACTGACGTTTTACTAACGTTATATTCTCTTGAACCCAGATTCAAACTCAAGTCTTTTGGGTTAGCAGTCTAGCACGCTACAGCTAGGCCAACCCATCCCCATATCACCTGCTAAACATTATAGATTGGCATTAAAATTGTGGTTGAAAATACATTTTTAACAAAGTTTTTGTCAAATTGAAAAAAGTGGAATTTTGTGAAACGTCTAAAATTAGAAAATTCTTGAGCCATTTTTTATCATTTAGAATTACAGGTTATAAATTTTAATCATGTTATTAAATTAATAAAAGTGAGTCCAATTTATAAATATTTAGTCATACAGTTATGTCATTGGTAAGCCCTTAATGTTTTACAATATTTCAACCAGGAACAACAACTCTTGCTAAAAAAGACCAATCTGGCAAGTTGGAGTATGAGGAACAATGTAAAAAACATGGTACGCATTTTTTTGTCTAGAGATGTGTTCTAAATTGAATATTAGTCGCAAATGGTACTACGTTTATTGTTATATTAATAATAAACTTACCATAATCAATTAAACATTGTATAGGTCAACCCTTAACATTCAAAAAGTGCGTCGGTTCAACCAAAGAGAGACAACCCATATAAAAATATGTTTAAAATAAAAACCAAGATTACTTCCCTTTGTACGTATTTGCAGTTTGTTAAATTAACACATTTTTTTTTTAATTCAAGGAATTATACCAGTTTCTTTTCTCTGTCGACATCTTGGAGAAAAGAATGTCAAACTAAAACACAGGAGCCTTGGAAGCTCTGGAATCAAACCACTTGCATTGGCTTTAAGGGTGAGTTAATTCTTTTTTTTTTTACACAAACCTACCATAGATCTACATACAATAACAAAGTTTGATACTTTCTATTAGCTAATAAATATTATTTTTTAATTGTGCTGAAAATTTTTTTCAACTCTGAAAAACAAGTTATTTAAAAATTAGTTAAACAATTTTTTTTTGTAGCACAACACACTAACTGAAAACTTGGACTTGACTGGAAATAATATTGATGGGATTGGTGTATTTTATCTTGCTAAAATGTTGGAGGAAAATCAAACATTAATCTCACTGGTAAAGACTATATAGTCAGTGTTGTATTAGTTTAGCATTGTGTCATTCTTATAGTAATTTAGTGTTGTCTCAATGTTGTGTTTGTTTGGTTTTGTATTAATGTTGTGTTATTTAAATGTTGTGACTGTTTTGCAGTAATATAATATTGTCTCAATGTTGTGTTTGTTTAGTGTTGTATTAATGTTGTTAACTGTTGTGACAGTTTTGTAGTAATTTAGTGTTGTGTCAATCTTGTATCATTTTGTGTTGTGTGTGAGGGTTGTTTAGTCTCCATAATAGCAGCAGTTTTTTATTTATGTTTTTAATTTACAGAATCTGTCAAATAACTGCATTGGATCATTAGAAGCCCTGTCTAACATGCTAGAAATTAACACAACATTAAAACTTTTATCTGTGTCAGGTACAGTGAGAAATTTATAAATTATTGAAGTTCTTTATCAAATTACCAATTTTAGTGTATAAATATAGATTTTCTACATTTCACAATGGTAACTATTGTTTCTAATTTTTTTTTTAAAGCATTTGACTGTTCGAGTTAAAGTAAAGTACCCTTTAGACATGATTTTTTAGATAAGTCGAGTTGATCGGTTTCCTTGACCATGGTGTATGAAGTGATTGTTTGGTCAGTACAGTGCCATGGAAACTTATCTTTCCTTAACCCAAGTCTTGGAGGGTACTCATATGAACTGAGTAGTCTCAGAAATTGAGACTTCTGTATTTGAAATTTATAGCTATAAAATGGAACAACACTGCCTTTCAGCACAATGTCTGTTTAATAGACTCCATCACAGGATGTGATAGAACATTAACCTGATTCATGTCATGGCCTAGCGGTAGAGCGCTAGACTGGTTACCCAAAATTCTCAAGTTTGAATCCGGGGTTAAAATCATTAGAACATCCACCCAGTTCTTATGGGTACTTGACTTAACGTATGAAAAATAAAGGCAGCACGGCATAGTACTGACCACACTATCTCTTCATATGCCGAAGTCACAGGAACAGGTGAACTCTACTTCACTTACGTCATGGACCATCAGGTTTGAAATGGGAACTTGACATTTTTTTATGTCATCATTGACCAGGCAATCATCTGGGGGACTCTGCCACCTTCTGCCTCATCAACTCCCTCAAGAACAACATGTCCCTTCTCTGTCTGGACCTCAGCTACAACGGCTTCTCTCTCATGGGCGGTGTCCACCTCGGCAAGGCCTTGGTATGTGCTGTTGATTTTTGGTATATGGTTTTTTATGGGTTTTATGTACAGGGTTTTTATTATATTTTTTTATGGGTTTTATGTGCAGGGTTTTTTATTATAGTTTTTTTAATGGGTTTTATGTGCAGTGTTTATTATTATAGTTTTTTTTTGTTAAAGATTTTTTTTGCTATTGGTTTTTTTTATGGGTTTTATGTACAGGTTTTTTTTATTATAGTTTTTTTATGGGTTTTATGTGTAGGGTTTTTTATTATAGTTTTTTTTTTTGTTAAAGAATTTTTTTGGTATTTGTTTTTTTTATGGGTTTTATGTACAGGTTTTTTTTATTATACCTTTTTTTTTATTTAAGATTTTTTTGGTATAGGGGAAACCAAGTACTGGAGATGATGAAGTCCATTTGTAATGAACTGTAAAATTAAAATTTAGGACCAAATGAAGTAGGGCAGCTGAAGCAGAGTTCATCAGTTTCTGTGACTTCAAAATATAATGGAATAGTGTGGTCAGTTCTATACTTACATAAAGGGATAGTGTGGTCAGTTCTATGACCAGCTGCCTTTACTTTCCCTAACATGGGTCAGGTACCCAGCAGAGCTGGGTGGGCTCAGGGACATCCTACATACTAGTTGGGGATCCAAACTCAACATCTATAGGGTAGCGGTCATGTTTTCATCTTCCTGACCACAGCATTCCATAAATGCACTATTAGGTAAAGAATATCTTTTTTTAACATGTAAGTGATACTATTGTGTTACAGTAAATTAAAAAAAAATTAATTTACAGGGAATTAACGATGGTCTTCTGGAGATTAACTTAAGCTGGAACAGTCTCAGGAATCAAGGTGCCTTAGCCATTGCTAATGCTTTAAAAGTAAGGCGATCAAGTGTTTAATTAACATTAGTTAATTTTATAACCACCAGTCGATAAAAAATGCTCAAAAATGCCCTTTCATTTCAACATGTAATGTGTACACCATACGTGCAACTGGCTATCTGTAAGAGTTAGACTACAGTTGCAAATTGTATTATTTAGTTTCTATTTCTAGCAGTATTTTTCATTTTCCAATAATTTCTATATTTAGTTTGTGAACATCAGTTACTGAACTTTTGTACAGGCATAATACCAAAAACAACCTTTACATTTTCAATTTGTCTGTAAAGGTTAAGAACCTTCATAGTTAAGGCAATGTTAGTTTGTTTTTAAACCTAATCAACATCTTTTCCTGTTGTTGCCAAAGACAAAAATGCAGATAAAGTAGAGTTCATCTGTTTAAATACTAACCGGAATATAAAAGACGAGCCGGCCCGCAGCATAACATACGCCGCTATTTAGTTGTTTCTAATTTTCAATAATTCATAATTTGTGAATTCGACAGTACCAACGCTGACACTGAAAATATTTCTTTAAAACACTATAAGTAGCTCGTTAAGGACCATAACCCCCCCCCTTCCTTCCCCCCCTCCCCCCCCCCCCTACGTTTAAAATCGTTGGCTCTGCTTGTAAACATTTAGAGTGAACACAGCTCACTAAAACCATGTAGGGGTGGGGAGGTAGGGAGAGCGTTTGCAGCTTGTTTTCTAAGGGCTCGAAGAGGAGAATTATATATATAGATAGTGTGGTCAGTATTTTGCCTAGTTTTCCCCAGTGTGGTCAGTATTTCCCCTAACCTGAGCCTGGAACTGTGTTCATTCCAAGTCATCCATCAGACCAGAGTTTCTTCCAGGCATTTCTTCGGGCCCGAAAATTTTTTACCCCCCGAACGAAATGAAATTTATATAATTTATATAGAAAATATACACTTTTAACAGTGTCCGCCTCCCCCCCCCGAAGAAAGTTTACCCCCCCCCCCCCCCCAAAAAAAAAATTTCAAGTGCCCCCCCCCCCCCCCCCCCCCCCCCCCCCCCCGCAGAGAAAAAAGTCTGGAAGAAACACTGCATCTGACTTGGGTCTGGGACCCAAATTCAAGTCCTGTAAGTGGGCAGTTGTGTGCTTGATCCAATCATTCTATCTCATGCTGACATGTTCTAAATAAATTGACTCTCAGATGAACAGGACTCTGGAAGTGTTAGACCTCAGTTGGAATGGGCTGGCACTGGATGGCGCCATTGCGATACAAAGAGCTCTTCAAGTCAACAAGACACTTAAGGTCTTAGATCTTACGTGAGTTCTTGATACATGTTTGTTTAATTTTTTGGTGGAACTGAGTTCTTGATACAAGTTTGTTTAATTTTTTGGTGGAACTGAGTTCTTGATACATGTTTGTTTAATTTTCTGGTGGAACTGAGTTCTTGATACATACTTGTTTAATTTTCTGGTGGAACTGAGTTCTTGATACATGCTTGTTTAATATCCTGGTGGAACATTGTCTTGACTGCTTTTCATCAATTTTGGAAAACATTATTTATAAGGATTAGAATTAACTATTTTTTTACCTTTTAATTGTAATCTCAATTAATTTGCTTTTTCAAAATTAAACTATTAGATAATTTCTAGTTTATTAGTGTTAAGAGTTACAACAATTGAATTTTACCTTCATTATTCAACTCATTATTTCTTTAGCTTTATGTAAAAAAATGTATATTTATGTTTGTTTAAAAAGACAATTTTTCAGAATATTACCAATAATTGTTTTTTGTTAAAGATGCCATTTTCAGTAATTTCACAAAATAGTTAATGCATAAATTTTAATTTATTTTTATCTCCCTTAATATAACCTCCCTTGATTTTTCCATTTCGGAAACAGGAACAACAGACTGGATAGTAAAGCTGCTGCAAAGCTTGCATTTGGCTTAAGGAAAAATACCTCACTACAGACACTGATTGTAAGCTGTTTTAACACAGGCAGACTAAACAATTTTATTTCGAGAGATTGACCAATATTTGGCTAAGTCATAGCTAACTTTGTGATCATTCATTTTAATCTTTTTAAAATCTAGGTGACTTATTAACTTTTTGATATAAATATATTATTTATGTTGCTTTGCCATGCTGAAATATCAATGACAATTTTCAATATAGGTGATAGTCTGTAACAATTTTTATTATGGATGATAGGTATAAATCACAAATAGGTTTTCTGTTAATTACTGCGGCTTTCTTTTGCAGCTAAATACGAACCCGCTTGGTGAGAAGGGTGTGGCATCCATCTTAAAATCTATATCCAAACATCCTGCCATTATATTTTTGTCACTGGAGGTTAGTTACTTTATTTATTTATTGAACTGTGTTTTTAAAATACTATAGGGCTGGTAAGTAGGTCACCAAACAGTTCTACAGCTCAATAAAACCTGCATGAGCAATAGAACTGGTTGATGACCTACTTACCAGCCCTATAGGGTACTTGTTGAAACAACAGTCATGAGGATATGTTAGAAAGAAAGTGTATGTGTGGGGGGTGGGGTGGGGGAAGCTCAGAAAAAAAAAATGAAAATAATTACTTGCAAGGGGCTTAAGAAGTGGTAGATAAACAAAGGTAATGAAAGGGGGTGGGGGGGGGGGTGGGGGCTAAGAACACCCTGGAGGAGATCTTTTGATAGGTAGATATGGTAGGCTGGACTGGCTTAGGCAGAGGTTAACAAATATTTTGGTAGCCAAAAGAATTATAAGAAGTTTCAATGTATGAAGATGATATATGTATGTATATGTATATATATAATGATTATTTTTTACAAGAAGTTTAAATATATGATGATTATTTAATAAGAAGTTTTAATGTATGAAGATTACTTTTAATAAGAATTCTAAATGTAGGAGGATTATTTTAAACAAGTTTAAATATATGAGGATTATTTTTAATAAGAAATTTAAATGTATGAGATTTATTATTAACAAGAAGATTAAATATATGAGGATTATTTTTTAATAATGAGTTTAAATGTATGATGATTAATTTTAATAAGCAGTTTAAATGTATGACAGTTAACATTAATATCTTTGTGTGTATTTGAAATGAAAATAAAAACATTTTTTTCTCACTGTATATTTTTTAGCGCAATTTCCATACTGACAATTGCGATTATTAATTCGTTATTTCTGGATGGATGGATGTGTGTCCGCAGCTCTAAGTCGTATCTCCTCCTCAACGAAGCAATATCGAGGACTAGTTCCAAAAGCAAATATGTTAAGCAAGTTCCAAGGATGATTCCTTCCTGGATTTCCCGGAAAAGCCAAAAAACCTCGAAAAAAAATTCAGTTTTTGGCCCATATCTCGGCAACCAGACCACTTAGCGACTTGAAATATTTACCAATCGATTCCTGCCATAATTTAGAACATTATTGCCGAAGAAAGTTTTCAAAAATATCCTTTCGTTCAGTCACAAAAAATTAATTAAGGAAATTGCGCTTAAATTGTCACTAGACTTTTTATTAACTTGTTTTTTTTACAAACTAGGATGTGACTGGTACCAGCAGCCATGTTGAGCTCATACAAACCTTGGAGAGGGATAAAGATATGGTCATAGCGTACGATGTCCTCAACAACATAAACAAGATAACGGCACGTTTTTATTTCACCGTTACCCCCAACATATTTTATTCTTCTTCATTGAACTTATGCATTTTAATAAATACACATAAACAGCTTATAAATATTTTTATTATTTCTTATTGAATAATTTTTTAAAAGTTTTAAGTGAGATGGCCTACTGAAGTATGGTAAACTATATTCAGTCTATGAAATATTTTTAAAAGCAATATTTACAACTATAAAGGGAATTAATCAAGTCTATATTTGATCAATTTTATGTTATTTGTAACCATTAGTTTGTGATTAAATAAAAACTGAATGCATTGTTGATAAAATATTTATAATAAGAGAAAGTTGTTAAAAAATTTTGGTGCGTTAATATTATAAATCCGAATATAAAAAAAGATAATAAACAAAAGAATTTGAAACAGCCAAAAATTTTGAGATTTATAAAATCTATAGAATTGGGCTACCTAACATGCAAAACAATATAACCGGTAGATTGTGTTCAATGTTATTTAACTAAGTTTTTTACTAATAAATTTTTTTTTTACTTTCTCGAATTGTTCTATGTTATGTCCAGTACAGCTAGGTTGATGATATTTCATGTATAAGTATTATATGGCGGAAATGGAACTTATTCTTGTTTTGGTTTTTCAAAAGCCTATAACTTCGAGTACTATTTCAGATAAACAAAATTTCACATATAAGTAAAAGATCTTATCTCCGATGCATATGAATTTATTAAGTACTAATGTTCCGCACTATTATACACACATTGTTTGCTGCTCACTTGCTGTTCTACCACTTTCTTTGCTTTTTTAAAAAGTTTAAGTAATTAAAAATTGATTAAAAATCATGTATATATTATATATCCAAGTTGCTATCCCCTGTAGTGTTATATAAGAATATTCATGAAAGTTAAGGGGAGATCATTTCTGATTTATTTACCTAATATTTGCTCAGTCAAGCTTTATTTATAATATATTTATAAGAATATAATTTGTTTTTATAAATTCATTTTACCTACAACTTTCTTTATAGGTTCTTTTCAACCTGAATAAAGTTTTTAACCTGTTCAAGAGGAAGCAACTCAGTAGTTTAGAAGATAATTTTATTCAGTGTGACCCCATGAGGTCAGGAAAACTTGATGTGGATAAAATGAAACTGTCTTTGAGGTGCTCAGGGATCAATTTAACACATGTAAGATAAAAAAAATTTTTCTGACCAGGACTTGTCATGAAATAAAAAAATATATTTAGGCCTGCAAATTTAATTACTCTAGTTTCAGCTCCATAATTTATACAATGATTAATTATTCATTACCCATAGTCCTACTCTTGGTTGAATATAATTATCCATGTACTAAAAAAATTAATTAAACATTTACTTTTACCCTAACTTGAAGTTAAGATCTTTTAATTTATGATTCTCGATTGTAAAATAAGTTGTTTCCCTTTGATAGAGTTCTGACTAGACTTACAGAAAACTAGTTGAGGTCACTTAGATTTAAATGTTAAAACATAAAATAAATATAATTCTGACCACATGAAAAATTATATTTTGCATTCAAATTGCCTGTTAAAAAATTAAACAAAACATTCTATTTTATGAACAAAAAATGTATCAAACATGATAGCTGATACAGTAAGAACAACCTTTCTCCATCCTGATATTTTCCCTTGTTCTTCAGAGGTACCTAGAAATTCTAGTTGAGAACATGCCCTGTGATGCACAAGGTCTTATAGATTACAGGTGAGTTTTTTTTCTCTCAAGTTACAGGTGACAAATATGTTTCATTACAAGATAATTTCTGTGGATTTGATAGTAGTTAGTCATTCATTTTTTAATAATGGAACTTTTCTGCTAAGGTTTTGCGGCCTTAAGCAAAATACAGCAATACTAAAGTTTTATTTATATTAATGTGCCTCATGTTTTTTTTTTGTTGCAGACAAATTTTGTCTGATGGTGGCTAACCAATGGTCCAACATTAATGTCCATATTTTGTTAATTAGTTTATGATTCATGTAAAACTTAGTTTTTTTTGTTTGAGTGTTATAATTGTTATGTAGGCTTACTTCCTAATTCTTGACAATAAAACTTGTTATAATACTCGTTATAGGTAAATACTGATTTGTATCTTCTTCTTCTTCGTTCTTACTTTTTAGTGTTGGAAGGGATCGAGCCTTATCTGCCAATGGGTTTGAACTCGAGACTTTTTTTTTCGAATTTATCATCCATGAGCTTTTACCGACTCGACCACGCCGACCCCTGGTTTGTATCTAATCAGTGGCCATAGACCCCTCGGTATATATATAAAAATTATGAGGGGTGTGCAAATCGAAAGTTTGTCCCCGGGTAAAAATTGGAACCCCCCCCTCCCATTGAGACTGTATCTAATAATATAAGATCTAGCTCTGCAGTAAATAGAGAAGTTCAGCAGGGAATGATGGATTTGAGAACACCATTAGTTAGATAGACATAGGAATCAAGTTCAGTATATAGTATAGGATACACGTTCAACAAATAATATAGGATAAAATGATAAGCACATGGACATTACAGGTTCAGTATCTGATACAGGATTCAAGTTCATCACCTGTTATATTCATCATCTGCGAGTATAAGATTGAACTTCCTACAGCAAATAAAAGGCAAAAGCTGTTATGTTGCTGTGTCTATCCTTCGTTTTATGAACAAAAGCTGATTTATCAAAACATATGTGTAACTTGTTCCATCGTGTTGTGTTTTTTCATTCGTTAACCACATCGAGAGTGTTTCTTTCAGGCATCTCTTCAGACTGCTCCCCTCCCCCTCACCCCATCCAAGTATGTCTAACGATCCCGAACCTGAACAAAGTAGAGTTATAATAAAAATGTCCGCTCCCACCCCTAAATTATCAAATCCTCCCCCACCCCTCCCGGAGAAAAAAGGTCCGAAAGAAACCTTACGCATCACCAAAATGACAGGAGACACAAGGAGCAAGACACAATGTTGCCGCTGTAGACACACCATCTGGGAGACACGGCAGGTGAGGGAGGGGTGGGCTCTGGGTGACACATTAGTGTTGTAGGGGCAGGAAGTCATCACGCGGGGGAGGGGGAGGGGAGATGTTGGGTTTGGTGGCAAGATGGTGTGTCGGATATAAACAGACTTTTTTTTTCCTCGGGGGGGGGGGGGGGGGGGGGGCGGACGGAACCAACCCGAAGAGATTCCTGGGAGAAACCCAGAGGCGTAGCGACCCTTCCCAGCGCCCCGGGACAAACTTTCGATTTGCACCCCCCCCCCCCCTCGAACTTTTTATTTGCACACCCCCCCCCCCTCGAACTTTTCATTTGCACCCCCCTCAAACTTTCAATTTGGCGCCCCCCTAAGGTCGGCGCCCGGGGACATATGTCGCCCCCCCCTCGCTACGCCTCTGGAGAAACTGGATATAAAACGGTGGTGAGTACTTATTGTAAGAGACAGGTAGTTAGATGGGGGGGGGGGCTGTGTTAACAGTAGACGAAGTAGGAAAATAAAATGGGTGTTGGTTTTTTTTGGGGGGGGGGGGGGAGGGTAGCAGAAAACAGGCGTAGCTACCCCGCCCGGGGACAAACTTTCAATTTGGCCCCCCCCCCCCATATATTTTCTATATTTATAATTCAAAATAGCAGCTAAAATGAGCTTATTTTGGCGCCTCCTGGTTCAGCGCCCGGTGACATATGTACCCTCCTTGTCAAAAATGGCCCATGACAAAACGGCCCCGACACTGTGTGTGGGTGGGGGGGGGGGGGGTTGTACAAAATGGTTACGTCTATGCCAATAATAAAAGTAAAGTAAATTTCCCCTTTCAAACCTGACGGTTTATGGGGCAAGTGAAGTAGAGTTCACTTGTTTCAGTAACCTCGGCATATGAAGAGATAGTGTGATCAGCACTATGCCCAGCCGCCTTTACTTTCCCTAACGTGAGTTAGGTACCCATCTGAGTTGGTTAGAAGTCCAGCTCTCTACCGCTAGACCACTCCGTCCCATATGCCAATAGTGGTCATACGATTTATTTGTCTGAAGCCGATATGCCGGGATTCTTTTTGTCGGTAACCTATATGTCGAGAGCCCTTTTGTCGGGAGTCAGTATGTCATGTCTCTCTTGTCGGGGCTATTTTGACTCGGTCGCTTTGACGGGACCGTTTTGGAGGGGTGTCTTTTGTGGGGGCTATTTTGACTCGGTCGTTTTGACGGGAGCCATCTTGTCACTGGCCGTTTTGTCACGGACCGCATGACGCCACCATATCATTAACAACACATCTTGCTAGCGAGCCCGTGTTTTGTAACCATGGATTAAGCACGTCCGCAGAGCCTTGTGGTAGATCAACAGGAGTCTCATTAAAACACGAATAATTTTGTTTAAATTAATTTTAAGACTCGTTAGCGATCAAAGGTCGTTGACCTAATTAACAGCTGCCTCACACGTTATCGCGAGTTAAAAAATAGAATTTAATATTGATGGAGTATACAGGGGTCTCCAAACTACGGCCCGCGAGGTCCTCTCATCCGGCCCGCGAGGTCCTCTCATCCGGCCCGCGAGGTCCTCTCATCCGGCCCGCGGAGATCTTTTTGTCCACGGAAAAAAAAAACGTTTGTTGGTGATGGCTGAAGAAATTGCTCAGAAAAATCACATGTCTGGAAGAAACTGGCCCCCGAACTGAAATTTGATAGTTAATGCGGCCCTCGGACTGAAAAGTTTGGAGACCCCTGGAGTTATCCTAATAACGATCTTTTAATTATTAAAATATTAAATAACATTTATAGATAGTGGTACAAAATAATAAAAAAAAAAATGTTAAATGTTATCTATAGTTAGTGCTAAAAATAAAAAGTTAAATAATATTGATAAGTAGTGCTAAATTAAATGTGCTGTTTCCGTTAAAAAAAATGTGTGCGGCTTTAGAATACAAAGGCTGTCCATAAATGACTTCACGCTTTGTTGGACGATTTTTATCCTCCCCCCCCCCCCAACTCCACAACATCATCACAAAATGCCGGTTACTCCCAACTGACGCCATAGATCGACATACCCTGGAATATACAAGAGCGTGACGGCGGACACTGATAAAAGTATCTTCGGGGGGGGGGGTGTATCCCCCCCCCCCACCCGAAGAGATGCCTGGAAGAAACAGTCCGTCCATGAATATCATAACGTTGCGTCTATCTAAGCCATAGCTTTGCATGCATCTTTGGTGTAAATCGACCTATGACATACACATATCCATGCGTCCATCAAGTTCATAACTGTATTGTCTATCTACAGCCTATCGGCACATCCATCTGTTGCATATGCGCCAATAATATACAGCCCATATGTCGTACAACTATACGCTAGTACTTATTTCGGTGAACAATAGAGGAAATAAGCAACGTGTTTAGATCCCCTCACACCCGGTCGCTATTTTTAGCTTCTATATATGGACATACACATTTTTAGAATTTTTTTTAACGGAAGTGTGTATTTGCGTATTTCCTCAATAGTTAGCGGAAATAAACTCTCCTCAATTATACTCACCATCATTGCAAGTTTCAAGCCCGCGTGCTAACATCGACTTGAATTTGAAATTCAAATTTCGAAACTTTAAAGACCCAGCTGGCTTTATTATTTCCATTGTTAAAACTCTCTTCCATCTCCCATAAGGCTTTAACCCCCCCTATCAACATTTTAAAACCTACATGACGACCGTTAAAGCCTTCAAGTCAGTTTTTACATCATGGCGGCAGCAGCTGTTTTTTTTTTTTTTTTTTTTTTTTTTTTTTTTTTTTTTTTTTGCGGCCAATGGATGAGCTGATAACGTGAGTAAATGTTTTGACTTCGTCATGTTTTGTTTTAATGACCACGTGACTGGGGCCGGAACTGCCGTGAGTGTAGGTGTGTCTTGGTGTTGGACCGACGGCAGACATGAACACGGTCTTTGGTCCCCTACTTCGCGCCATCAACCGATACATCCCGTTTTCCAGATGTAAGTAGGAATTGTTATATACCTGACAGTATGCTTTGTTTTTAGCGCAATTTCCATACGGACAATAGCGATTATTAACTCGTTCTGGATGGATGTGTGTCCGATGTGTGTCCGCAGCTTTAAGTCGTATCCCCTCCTCAACGAAGCAATATCGAGGACTAGTTCCAAAAGCAAATATGTTAAGCAAGTTCCGAGGATGATTGTGGGCTAAAAAAATTCCCG